ATTAGTAAACAACAGTCACAGCCTGAAAACAATCGACTGTCATTTTAAAATGTAAACCAAACTAATATTCCATTGTTTTAAAAAGGAATTAATGACTATTGTATAACATTAAATTTATGGAGCAAATATGAAATCATTATATATGTTTTTATGAAAATTGAGGGGTAAAATTGTTTATGAACGTTGTTGACTTGTAGATTCGATAATTTCAATATCATCTAAGCCAACCTTATTTTCAATTTTTTTAGCATCAAATTTTGGTGGCAGTGTAGACCCTTCTTCCAGTTGGGAATAACCAACATTCTTTCTCAATTCGTTCAACATTTTATTATGTACCATCTCTGAGAATTCACCTACTTTGTCTTTAGTTAATTTAGTGGTTGGAATTGGATCTAAAACCTTTACTACAACAGTACCTCTGTTAAAGATGTGATAACGACCATTTTGTAAATTTGAAGTATTAGAGACAACAATTGGAACAATAGGTATTTTACCTTGTAAAGCTAAATGGAATGCACCTTTTTTGAATGGTAACATATCTAAAGATTCACTATATGATCTAGTACCTTCTGCAAATATCCATAATGATCTTTTATGTTTTACTAATTCTTCTAGTGATTTATTTAAAGTAGCAATACCTTCAGCGGTATTTTTTCTATCAATTAATAGAGTACCACTTAAAGATAAGAACCAGCCAAGAATTGGCACATATTTTAATGATTTCTTAGCGGTAATGGTACAACCAGGTGGGAATAATTTACCTAAAATAATCGCATCTAGAGAACTTTGATGATTACAGACATAAATGCATGGTTGATTATCCAAATTTTTTTCATTTATTACTTTAACTTCAACTCCTAACAAAGCACTCACAATTGTATAGTAAGTCTTTGTTGTAACAAATTGTGAAATATGTCTGTAACCTATCAAGCTCAACAAAATAGATGAAATCATACCAAGGATGGCACAGAATCCTAGAGCAAAGATGCAAATACCAGTTTTGACATTGTATACAATACTTGAACCAACACTCATCTCCGAACCTTAATTCAATATTAAACTTTTACTTAAACCCTGTAGTTCTTCCGCGTTTTCTAAGCACTTCTTTCTTTTCTTCCTATAATCGAAGTATATATCAAATCGATTTCGAAATCAAATTTTAAGGCCTTTTATGAATTTATGAGGTAAAAGAAAAAGACTCTCGAAAATTAGTATCGACATCTCAAAAAGTTAACATTTCAATTAAAATATTTACACAAAATACTCATAATTAAATTATTATTCTTTGGTTTTTATATATGAATAAATATAAAACCACCATTCATTGAATAGCAATTTTTACTGTTTCGTAAAGATGTTACTTGTAACATTCTCTTAGCCTTTTTGTTTCCGAACTGGCTTTGCCCCTCAACAAAAATAAATCAGTATCGATGGAGAGAGAAACTAAGAGACCTACTTGATAATTAAGCCTACAACCGTAAGTTGACATTGCACTACTTAGGATTAAGATGGGTTAAGTTATATTTGGGTGGTGGTTGTGGCGGGTGGTTTTAGTCGTCTTATTCGAATAATTTTGCAATTTCTACTTGATTTGCTTTCGAATGGGTTGTTTTGCACTTTATTATATGTAATCAATTGACGGTTTGTTCCCTCATCGCTTTTCTCGTTAAGAGTAAGTAGGAAGTTGAAATGAGGATTTCTCATTGATGATCTATGTATATGAAACTGCAAACATAAAACCTTGTCGGTATGCTTGTTTTACTTTATTATATTGGAATTTTTATGTAAAATCTAAAAAACCAACAACAAAGAAACATAGATTCGAATCAAGGGCTGGTATACAATTACCAATGATATCAGAGTTGTAAAGGTAAAATGGTCTTAAAACCGGATAGATAAAAATATGGATTTACAAATTTGTATTAGTTCTTTAGCAACATTTGTTTAATTATAACAATTTGCACTATACTATGGTATGTAGTTTTTTTTTCCCACAATACATATATTCATACAAATTTGCTGTTGCATTTCATTGCGATAAAAGTTTATTCTAATAATACGCCCCTCCCCTCCTAAACACTGACATTAATATGATGTTCCAATTATAACATGAGGTACTCCCTATATATTCTGAATAATATGAGATTTAAGTAATTACAAAAATAATCATGTCAATCCATCCAGGAGGTCGAAAGAACTAACATTAAATTTTCTTCCACGGTAAAACAATATATTGATAAAGCTAACTACACAATTTTTTTTTCAATCTTTACAAACTTTTTAAATGACAAATGGGGAACGAAAAAAAAATAACATCATTGCATCTATGAATTACAGACGTTTTACTTTTCAATAAAAGAAAATACTACAAATCAAGCAAGCTCAATATTCTTTTTAAACATTTTTCAATAGTTCATTACAATACTTCTCCCCCCCTTCATCATCAAATGGTTCTCAGATTATTTTTTGTTGAATTCTATTGAGACATCAAAAATTGCAATTATTCAATTCAACGATTTCATACAAACACCAAGCAATATTCAGGGTTTTATTATAATAAACTTCATAGTTTGATGACAAAATACCATTTCCTTTTAGAAAGATTTCATGAAGTCATCAAGTCAGCCAGTCGGTTCAAGAAGTCAGTCTCTGGTTAAAGGCACATCGACATCACTACGCAGCGCTATCAACATATCGTTTAAGGCAAATTTTTTCGAATTCGGTTTATCGTTTCTTTTTTAGTTTTTGCACTCGTGATCGATCATTATCCACGGAACCTCATCGGTTAAAATTTGAAATTTTTAAATCAAAAATTCTGAAATTTTCAATATGGAAAGGAAAAATTTATAGCACATTCTCTCTGTTAACAAACAAGACCATTGAAAAAAAAAAGAACTTGATGATGGATATCAAGATATCAAATTGAATTGTACTTTAAGAAGTTTACGATTTTAGTATATATATTTTCTTTTGATCTGGCTTAATCTCTTTTTTTTTCTTTGATTGAGTTTTCTCTGTGTGGTGTGAAAAAGGTCATATAGTAATGTCAGAAGGATCTTCTTCTCCAAAAGCCCAATCTAGACGTGGTTCTTTTGCTCCAATTGAATTCACCAATGAAATCTCTAAACAATGTTTAAAACAAGTCGAATTTTATTTCTCTGAATTCAATTTCCCATATGATAAGTTCTTGCGCACTACTGCTGAGAAAAACGATGGTTGGGTTCCAATTACTACCATTGCCACTTTCAACCGTATGAAAAAATACAGACCTGTTGATAAGGTGGTTGAAGTTTTACGTACATCAAAGATTTTGGAAGTCTCTGAAGATGGCGAAAACGTCAAAAGAACTGCTCCTCTAGATCTAACCGATGCAAGAAATACAAGAATTGAACAAAATAAGCGTACTTTGGCCATTATGAATTTCCCAACTGATGAAGATGATAAATTAACATTTGCCGAATTACAAGATAAAATTGAAGAATTCATTAACAAAGTAGCTGAAGTCAATCAAGTACGTTTGAGAAGAGCTCATCGTAAGAAATTCAACGGTACTGTATTAGTAGAGTTTAAATCAGAAGAAGGCTATAACGACTTTTTGAAAAATTATACTGGCGAAGGTGCTGAAATTTTGTCATATGAAAACCGTAAATTAGATGTTTTAACTAAAAAGCAATTCGATTTACAAAGGGAGGCTACAAAATCAAAGAACTTTAGTGGCTCCGGCCAAAGATCCAGATCCTTCACAGGTCATAGAAAAAACATGCCAAAGTTAGATAAACAAAAAACTGAAGAACAATCTGACTCCGCTATTGAACAAGAGTAAGAATTATAATTTTGACTCAATTGAGTTGTAAGTCATATATATTTGTATATATATAATTAAAATTTCATTTCCCTTTATAATATTAAGGAACTTAATTAATATAAAATTTATACATTTATATTTATAACCGCCAAAAAAAAAATCCATTCCGTTCCAAAAAAGGATCTATCAAAAATATTGTTCTAAGATTTTTATCAATATTGGAGCGTTGCCATCTCATCTCAAATATAAAATAAATGGTAACACTAGGTTTCAGAGAAAATGGTGTCTGTATTTAAGAATTATTCGATCTTTTTTCTCATTGAATTGAAATGACTGATATTTATGTAAAATGATACTTTGATAACAAAAATCAAATCTCTGCACTCCATAGATACCTCTTTTCACTGCAACATTTTGGCTTCCCACTTTTCTTCAACACTATCCTTCCAAAAAATGTTTCTCAACAAACCTAAATATAATAATGCGATTTGTAATTAACCAGATACGAGGTATTCAACATTAGAAATACAAATCATTGCATTTTATCTAGTTGATCCAATCAATGGAACTTATAACCACATTCCTTACCAACGTGTTCATCTGTCCAAGTAGTCGTATTCTCAAACCATTTCCCACAGGCCCCGCAATTCCCTGGAGAAGTTATACTTTTTCTCTTGGGTAATGTTAAATCAGCATAATTAAAATGGTGTGCCCTTAAATGGTTCCTTAAAGTATCCTTTCTTAAAAATAATCCGGTGCTATGACAATTTTTAACATATGCAGTTTTCGGTTGAAATTTATGTTTATACAATTCCAAATCTATATTTATTAGTTTTTCATTATAAGGACATCTGAATATGTCGCCGGTGTTATGCAATGCTACTAATCTATCATGTTCCGACATTAGTGGGTCTTTTGCAGTTAAAAGATCCTTCTGAACGTGTTCTTTCTGGTGTCTTAAAAAATCAAAATTTCTTGAAAAGCCTTTATTACAACTTGGACATTTAAATGGTTTATCTTCTGGAGCTAAATGTGTCCTCTTATGTGTTGTTAAGTTTGAAAAGAATAATTTACAATCTGGACATTGCTTCTTCTTTCTTGCATTTGGGTTTCTATTTTCTGAGGATTCAGGTAGCCTCCTCTTTCTTTGCTTTGAGGCACTACCATCTGTAGATTTTTCGAATAATAAGTTATCAGATAGATGAGAATCGATAGCTGCAGATGAAGATAAATCAATTTTTGGACCATTGTTATTCTTAAATTGATTCTCTGCAACACGAATCAGATTTTCAAAAGAATTAGGAATATTTTCCATCAATAATTTGGATTTCAATTCATCTTGTAAGCTATCCTGAATATTACTCTCTGCTGTTAATAAATCCAAATTATTCCTACTCCTAGGCTTACGATCCTGTCTTCTTATGAAACCACCAGTAGAAGATAATTGTATAAAAGGTAACTGATCCATTTTAACACCTGTAATATCCAACATCATCCTCACTCTTGATGATTATTACAAACTGCGTAATTTCGTTCAACTGATCTTGTTATTCCCTTTTATATACCAAGTCATCAATAACTTCATTAACTTCAGATCAATGTTTGTTTCGTGTTTAAATAAGAAACATGTAAAATTCCAATGGCACGTGATCAGATATTAATAAGCTGTACTATAAAAATGTCACTGCTTAACAGATAATTAAGATTTTACAAATATAAGAATAGATATAACCATATATACTAGAAATTTATTTATTGTATCACCAGATATTGTATTTTTGGTTCCCATTCCAATATTTTATTATTTTCTTTAGTTAATCTTTAGCAACGATGATGATAACCCAACGTAATGTATCTGATGGATAATTAATGACATTATTGTCAAACTCTAATCTATTTCAAAATTCCTTAGAACAAACAATCTCCTCTCAAGATAAACCTTTTGCAAATTATTTTGGCAAGTGTAAACCATTATACTACGTTGGCTTCACAGAATTACCAATTGTTAATGAAGATAGATAAAATCAAGTAAAATGAAATAAAATATCAATTCTATACTTTCAATACTATTTAAATAATATACATTCACTTATGAAAGATCTCAGTATATATATATACAATTGTTCACAGGTAAACAAAGAGTTATATCTTACCCATTTAACATTATAATCATAAAATAAAAAAAAACGTCGATATAAATTCGAATTCGAATTGAGATTAATGATTATTTGAATGTCTAAGCTTTTCTGGAAGAGACCTTAGTAACGTTTTTCTTAGAACCAGAAGACTTACCAGAAGACTTAGTGGATTCAACTGGAGCAGCTTTTTCAGATTTCTTAGCACCACCCTTTCTGTAAGATTGGATGTAGAATGAAATGAATAAGAACAAATATGAGGTTAAGATCATGTAACCGTATGCAGCAGCATCTTGAGTACCGTAACAAGTACCCATGTTTGGCAAAATACCTTCAAAGTATTTATGAGCGTAGAAGGTGTAAGTAGCGAAGTAAACGAAGACTAAGTCGATCAAAAATTGGATGATTTGGAATCTTGTAACCCATTCCTTCCACCAAACTCTAATACCACGAGCACTTAAGAAGTAGTACCAGTACATGACAACATGGACAGCCAAATTCAAGGTGATTGGAACCCATTCAACGGAGGTTTCACCCATCAATTGAGTGTAACATAATAGAGCAGTAGCACCATGATGATAAACATGTAAGAACAATAAATTCTTTCTCTTTAAGATTAAGAATAAAGTGTCAATTAATTCCCAGAATTTAGTCAAATAATTTAAATAATACAAAACGATTAATTTTGGAGCAAAAGCCTGTTCTGAACAAATAGCCCAGAATAAACCATGTTCATAAACCATTGGTACCAATTGTTCAACTAATAATAATAACAAAATCAAAGAAGCTGAGGTTAAGAATAAATTATGCAATTGGAAGAAGAAAGATAATCTTCTTGGAGAAGCATTGGTGGCACGTAATAAAGCTTGACCACCAAAAATGATAGTATAATAAATAATAATTACACCGATAGCATGATAACCATTTGCCATAAAAGTCTTATTATAAATGAATTTGAATTCTTCAGCAGGATAACCAGTGATATTTTCAAAGATTTTTGAAAAAATTGGCCATAATTCTAAACCAAAAGGATGTTGAATTGATGGATAGTGCAAGTTAATATAAGATAAATTGTTAACTAAATCCATAAACTTATCAGAAGTAGCTGATACCAATAATTCTTCAGCAATTTCAGTAGCTTCACCAGCTACATCATTTACAACTTGTTTAGCGATGTCATTGATGACTTGTTCAGCAGCAGCATCAACAGCTTGATTCATTATTGCTAAATGGTTTGTATTCAACAGCTATTTATATATATCAGTATACAATTGAGACTACAACGAAAAATATTGAACAAGAAGATAACTTAAAAAAAGATTAATTAATACAAATTAAAGACGAGTAAGTAATTGATCTTAAAACCATTAAATCAAAAAATAATATCTTGGATCAAACAACGAAATAAATCAAAAAGTGCATATAAATAAATAAGTATGGTTTAAAGAGAACTGAAGATATCAACAAAAAAAATGTAAATAAATCAATGAATAAATAAATAAATTTTTTTTTTACTTTTATTTAATAGCTAAAAAAGCTTTTGGTATTGTAGTAATGTTACACACAGCAAATACTTCACCAAACTAAAAAACAACAACAACAACAGAACAGAATACCAAAATAATACGTATAAGTAGAGAACAAGAGGCAAAAAGGTATGGGTAATACAGGAAAAAACATAAAAATTTAAATCAGACAAGAACCCAACTAGAAACCAGAACAGCGACACAGACGAAGTTCGTAACCAAATTTGTCTCTGTTGCTATTCATTGAGTTTTTGCAATTAGATCAATGCTCAAAGTATTGGGATATATGTTATATATCTCTTTGAAAAAAAACAGTATGATTTAGCTGGGACACATACAGTTGATGATCCAGATAGTATTCATTCGGAAGACGATATGATATAGCTGAAGCTTACAAAGCTTCTGTAGCACACGGTAAGATGTTATTGTCATTATTCTTATTACGAGTGTTATCCATCGCAAGGAAATAGATCAATCCATCAATCAATCCATCAATTCATGGGAGGTAATGTAAGAGTGAGGCCAAAAAAGCAAGACGATTTCGAGAGCAGTACCAAGTGAATATCGCGCAAGAGGGTTGTTTGTTCGAACGCAAACAAAGTTTCAAGTGGCAGCAAGAAGTCGTGGGAGAGGTCCAGACAATTTTTAACCATAGCTAGTTGTTTTAGAGTAGTTGAGTTTGTTGAGAAGTGTTTGCCAACAGTTTTACGTTAGCGTTGGTATGCATTTGTATTTGTATTTGTATTTGTATTTGTATTTGTATTTGTATTTGTATTTCTGTATGTCTATTGTATTTTGCCCTTTGCCCTTTGCCCTTTGCATTTTGGTGTTGGTGTAATCCCAACTTGACGTAGGGTAGGAACCGAACCTGTGGATAGTTGTGTAGTCGTAAGGCTATCTCTGTGTAATATCTCTTGGTCCGAATTTCGGAGCTGTGCGGATGTTTCTCTGTAGATATACCTATTACTTCAACGTCAACTGCAATTTCAAGTTCGAAAAGCATCTCACCAGAAAGAAAGGAAGAAATGAAAATGAAAATGAAAAAAGAAAAAAGAAAAGAAAAGAAAAGAGAAAAAGGAAAAGCAAATAACGTTACACAAACGTTCACGTGCAGGGTGATGATATGTACTTATGTACGATGAAAACAACAAAGACAGAGAGAGAAACCGACCGTGTGTCTGTTTAGTTCTGGTTTTCGAAAATTTGTACTTACTTTTATCCGTGGATGTTCCTTTCTTAAAGGACTTGGTACAAGTACTGCTGAGATTGATCTGAGTTGATTTTGATTGAGTTTGGTCATTAACCCCGATGAAGAATGAACTGAACAGTAGAGAACGATTGCCAGAGAGAAAAGAATAATAAGACATACACCAACTTTCCCTTCCCGTCTTGTCTTGCCATGTCTCTCTCAGTCTCTCTCTTCATCTCATCTCCCATACTGAAGAGGACTATCTTCATTATCGCTCATAGAAGAAGTTGGCACTAGACTGGGCTCCTCTTGGGTATCGGCCTAGCTCGTGCCTATCTACGCATTACCTACGGAGTCTCTGCGTCATTTTATTTTATTTTTTTCGAATTCCTTTCATTTCTTGCTTTAACATTAACACGAATGGAACTCATCTCCAAAGCTCACAATTGAACGAGTTGAGTTACTGGACTTTTGGATACTGTCTCTCTCTCCATGCGCTTGATAATTCACCGTACAGTTTGCAATGAGTCTCATCTAGATGTTTAATATATTCAATTCCAACTGAAATTTTATGGAATTAAAAGTTTTATAGTAAATACATACATATACACAATAGAGCTATATATATATAAATATGCATATATTAGAGTGAGGTTCATAAAAACATAAAGTTATCCCTATTGCCATTGCCATTGACATTGACTTTGTAATTATAATTAATCCTATCTAAGTTTTACCCCACAAATCTAATGATGCAACGGTATCATACCCACGAGAATCTTCGTATACATATAATATCTCTTGTGAGCTGGTTTGTAATAATCTGATCTTCTCGCCAACTATACAACGTACTAGTTCTCCGTTATCAATGTTTCTGATCTCAATGAAATTATTGTCAAACGCCAAGATATACGGATACCAAATGGCAAACTTTTGAGGCTCCCCTTCCCAATTAATTATATGTGAATCTTTCTTCCTCCATCCTTGATTATTAACAAAAAATGCAAATTCCGTGTAACATAATAAAAACATATTACCAACTCGATAAATTGCCATAGGTTTTAAAGTATCTCTTAATGCAAATTCTAACGATGTATCCGCAGAATCCAATAACGCCTCATGTTGATTCTTGTATATACTAACAATTTGGAAACCTTTCTTACAACCAATGCATAGGTTAGCTTTCAAAAATGATATAGATACTGGTTCAGAATCAAACATAACTTCCGTTATCTTCTTTTTTAAATTCTTCTTACTAGATCCACTGTTATCAGTTAACAATGGATGTTCATGCTCGAAATATTTAATAGAGTGTGGGTGTGCAGTAACAATTAGTCTCTTCCCATTACAATCACCTTCAGCAAAAAAATTAACATGATTAATTAATTCTTTACTATTCTTCTTGAAAAATGCAGTCGCGTTACCTTCAACATTTAGCAAAGACAATGGACATGAATATAATTTCTTATCCACTAATAATAAAACTGATTTGAATTCTTCCAATACACCAACCTGCGTAATATTGTTTCTTTGAATTAACTGTACTGGGGTGGAGAAAAATATCTGGGCCTTCTGTGTATCGGATGCAGTTGTTCTTCTAATATTACTCATATACAACCCTGAATTAGTGGCAATAAGTAATTTACGGCCACCATCACATGAAACGACACTGTTGATCTTGTTTGTATAATCAAAAAACTTATCACTAATCTTGGTAACGTTAATATTGTCAGTATCTCTAATAATACGCTTTTGCTCTTGATCAATTTTATCCAACAATGTTTGTAATGCTGCATACTGAGCTGCATATAAAGTTACTTGATATTTTTGCTTAGCACCGTAATATAAAAACGTAATTGCATTCTTAGGATTTGGACGATTGTCATTAAAGAAAACAGTACCAGAGCAATCAGGTTTGCTACCAATATATCTTCTTAAAATCGGAGCTTCCTCCCCAGGTGTGGCAAATAATAACGGTAGTGGAATCGGTCTTTGATAAACTTTATGTTGATGCCATTTATTGACCGATTTCGATTTCAAAAATAATAATAAATTATCTAAGAGATAAAATTGCAGATCACCAATAACACTATTGTCTGATTTACTTAATTCCTTCCTTGATAAAATACCTTCATGCTTAATTTTTCTCTTTTCATTGTTCAAACCTAAATTAACATATTCATTCTTAAACAATATTTTCTGCTTCAATAATTTAACATCATGCCTATCCTGTGCTGCACCACTTGCTTGGTCAATACGTTTCATAAAATCTCGTAGAGCATCCATTGCTTTATTAAGTGATTCATAATCTCTGCCATCCTTGTCTGAATCTGAAGACTTCATAATTTCTTTCACCAATAACATGTAACGTCCAGGTCTAGATACACCTTGAGATAAAAATGAATCAATTCCATGTCTTAAATTAGAATTCATCATATCATCATCGAATCTAGCAAAGTAAGGATTGACAGATCTTTGGGTTTCAATTAAATATTTGGCATAGGGACGAGAAGCCACATAGGACACAAATGGTTCAAAAAATGGAATGAATCTTAATATAATATCACCAATTCCCCTAACCACTGGAGAACTTTTTTGTCTTTCAGTTAACGCTTCTAAAAAACGCCTATTAACAGAATAAATGTCATTAATATGTGCAAAGACATGCTTAATAAAGTTTTTACGAATATCTGACGGAATGATATTAGTTTCCGAAAGTGTTTTCATAAAAGTATCTCTAGTTACTTCTAGTGACTTGATAAAATTCTTTTCAGTGCTGAATACCTCATAAATTGCTTCTTGCCTTTTAATTTCTTTCGTTGGCAAGTTTTTCCAAACTTCTTCAGAAACAGAACTCGTCCAAGAGGGCCTTTCCTCATCATCATCATCTAAATTCATAGAGATATTACGTTTTAAACCCCCGTTTGGTTTCATATTTAGTCTCGCCTGCTGTTCTAAACGACGTGGACAAGAAATGGAGTAACATAGTTTATCACGGGTACATGTAGGTATGTAACATTCGGTTAACAGAGTGAATACACCATTAATATTATTTCTGTACGAACGGTTTTCCTCTGGAATATCTTTAATTCCATGCCCGACCTGTTCGCTCATAAATGAAGATTCCGAATCAGTTAAAGATAATGAATTCTGGAAACCATTATTATTGATATTGCTTGTACTTGACATCAAACTAAAAGGATCATGCGTGTTCATCGGAACATACCCAGTGGTACCTGTACCAATGATCCTTGAATTATCAGTAAATTCATATACTTCTTTAGGGGAATCACGGAGTCTATGCTCATAAACGACATCATGAAACAACTTTTGAGCATCCAATGATCTAGCAAGAAGCAACGCCAAATTACGATCCGATGTTCTTATTATTGAACAGATAACACTAACTGCTTGTTGTCCAGTGAACGCATCTCTGTAAAGTAATCCATCTTTCTTATGTTCACCAAGCTGCACATTTTCTTTAAATTTCACTGCAACCTGTGATAACAATGCTGCATATACATTATTCTTTCTACTAGAAAGGCTCTGCAAATGTTTAGTAGGAGTACCCGAGTGCAGTTGACGATTTTGTACTGTTGAAACACTTGAAATAGAGGCATACCTTTTTGACATTAATGAAGAAGAAGATGCTCTTGAGTATAACCCTAACCCTAAATTATTTGAACTGGTGCTTGATGTTAATGTATGGCTACTAATTTGATTCTCATCTAGAAATGGATTTGTAGAAGATTCAATCTTTTGAGATGCTTTGCGACTATTCGATTTTGAATGAAACGAAGATTTAAAACTCTTTAGAGTAGAGGAACTTATCGACATTGACCTTCTTTTATGATGAGGATCAAATTGTTGTGAACTCTGGCTTTGTAATTGATGCTGTTGTTGCTGCTGCTGCTGTTGTTGATGTTGATATTGATGTTGATGCTGCACCTGTTGTTGTTGATGTTGCTGCTGCTGCTGCTGCTGCTGAGTATATCCTTGCGAATTTGAATGGTCATTTAGATCTCTTGAACTAGGTCTAGAAAAAAATCCAAAACCTTGTAAAGGTGACTTTCTTGACTGTGTAGGACTATTGTTATTACTGAAGCTGGTTTGTTTTTTTAGTCCAGCTAATGCTAATTGTGGTAAAGATTGCTTCCTCTTAGGCATGAATTCACTTTTTGTTCTTTGTAAATGATCATCTTGAGAAGAAGATGAGGAGTAATGCGGAGCTCTATTTCCTGCGCTATTTGGAGCATTGTTTAAATCATTATAATTTGAAGGTGGGAAGATTCCAGCAGTACTACTTTTATGAAGTTGATGAGGAGGAGGATGAGGATGAGGTTGTGGCTGAGGTAGAGATTTTTGATAATTAAGATTTGTATAATTATTTTCATTATAGTTGATACTTTTTGGCGAAGTTAAAGGAGTATTATCTCCGCTTGATATACTTTTGGAATCCGAAATCTTCCTAATATGAGTTCTTTCATGCAATATATATAAATTCTCATCACTTTCTTTTGTCAAATTTGAAGAATTAATTGATGATTTTTCATCAATAATATCTTCTATCACCGATCCTTTTACTAAATCTTCTAAACCTGGTATATCTTCTACTCTATTTGGGATGTGAGCATTAGGAAGAAGAGGGACGTCATTTTCATTAATATCAAAACGGCGTTTCGAACCAAATAAATCAGTATATAATTGTAGTCTTTCTTTATCACTTCTAACTTGACCCATGACCTATATATATAATTGGATATATTAGATATTAGAACAATTCTTACGAAAGAATAAATGAGCAAAATAATTCGAAGCTACTTGTTAATAACACTCAACCACAAACTGATGAATACTAAATAATTCAACCAATGTGATATATTGTTGTTGTGTTGAGCACCTTTCTTTTCAGTATCTAAATTTATGTTTAAATGTAGAGAAACAAAGGAGAATAATAGAGAAAACGAATGCAAAGCTGTATCGAAATAAACAGAAATCAAACTTAGATATAATGATTTAGTGAATATAAAGATATAACAGCCAAATGGTTTAATTTAATATAGGTTTTTACCAACAGCAAATAAAAAGCCCACTATCTATTAATCCTGATAGATTAAATAGACCTTAATGCACGAGGAATCGGATATAGAAAGAAGAATGAGTGTCTGTGTGATATAGAGAGTATATAGAATCACAAACTCTTTTATAGTCTAATAAACTATAAACTATAAACTTATAACAATAATATTCCTTTAATGAAATGGTGAAATAAATAAAAAGGTGAAAAAGAAAACCGTAATTAGTACTAACTTTACCAACGGCTTTACAAATTTCTTATTCGTATATACTCACTCAATTTCCAATCCTTAAACAAAAATCAATCAATCGATCAATTAACAAATTATTCAATCAATCTATTTGTTGAAAAAAAATGTATTAAATTTCTGTTATATAAAATTGACGAATATAATATCTAAGCTTATAAAAAATAAATCAAAAGAGCTATTAATCGATTAGCTTTTTAATAACATAACAGTTTCGAATTTTCCAATTATATTCCAACTTCGATTTTAAAGTAAGAACGGAAAAAAAAGGAAAACATATAAACCTATTTTCCAATTATCTCTAACTACTAGAACACATTCGTTAGACAACTTTCTAAACCCATTAATAGAAGCAATATATAACTCTAAGTGAAAAAATTCAAACTATAAATGTAATAATGATAGCAGTAAATACAATTAATAGTAGCAGCTTTTTACAAGTCGTAATAGGAAAAACACACAGATGGTTCTTCCTATATTGTCTCCTTCCTTGAAGACATTTGAATTGCTTGCTATTATAAACAGAGTTATTAAAATACACTACTAAAGCTTAACTGTACTGTAAGTAAGAGATGAGTTAAAACTTTGCCCATAGGCGTTACATATTACGTACGTATCAAACGAATTTTTAATTCAAATTCTTCTTGCTTGATATTCGAATTAGAAATAAGAAAGGAACCATGTCAGAGGTCTACTGCATATATCACCATAGTTGTTGACAAAGTCTTGGACGAGTAAGACGGTAAGAGAAACGTAAAATAAAATCACGTATACACACCATCCCAACAAGTATATTTTCAACCATACGGTTTATTCTTTACCATTTTATTTTATTCTGTGTTACTTTTGTTATATCTTATATTTCTGTTAATTTACTCTCTCTGTTGTGGGTAGTATAGCCAAGCACTTGCACAACTGGGTAGTAGTTGTAATCATTGGTTTCTTTCCCTCTTACTTAGAACTCTTTTGAAGTAACGAATTAATCAAGATTAGGTGGAACTGGGGTGATTGATTGTTAATTTTCTGATATCAGAAGGTTTCAAATAGAACGAACAAAGGGAATTTCATTGTGTGCTTGACAGTTTTTCTTTTTTATAGAGAATCGCCAGGGTTGGCTGGATGGGATATATATTCTGTAAAATCAACTTAATGACTTCTTTAACGTGGTTTTCCTTTTACAATTAAGCTAATCAATTGCACGAGCAAACTTCCACTTTTATTCTCTCTGTTTTAAGTATCTACTGGAGAGGAGCTGATGATTGCAAGTAGTCGCACTTTGTTCTTTTCAGTCCAGCTCAGATCGAAGGTCTGGTCTGTCTCAGTTACGTGGCATACTGGTGTACAAGAGAGGACTTATTGTAGAATAACTCTAACCTTACGAGAGAAACTATATTGGCAACGCTAATGACGTATTTCATCCCACTCTACATGACCTGTATAACATTAACATAAAGATAACCACACCCATATAAATATTTCTATGCAAGTATATATATGTTTATTCTGATGTATCGCAACTAGAGTTATTATGGATACGGAGAAAAGGGATTACATGTAACACAAATAAGGAACTAAGTGACGACGATTGAATAGATCTATACGTTGCCAAGTGATCAATAATGTCGTAATACTAATATATATATATATTCTCTTGGAACTAAAAATATTGATACTAACACTTGTTACAATTAATCTTTAAGCTCCAAACGAAATGGAGATTTTAAAGGGACTGAGAACCCACTACAATTAAATATTGAGTGTATCTACGTAATAATACAAATTAAATTTCAACGGTACTGTAACTGTTATGAGATCAAACGTACAGAGATAACTTGTCCACTACAGTTCGGTTCTTAAGAATTGTTCCTGAGTGTGTAGCTTAAATTTAATTTCTGAGATATTTTTTTCAGATATTGAGTAGTAATATTATATCAATTGTAATGAATCTTTTATGAGTGTATCAAATCAGTTTCTTGTATGTTTGTTTAAAAAGTGAATAGATTCAGCACATTTTTTGATTTCTGTAGATATCTGTGAAAGTGTAGGACACCTTGAATTTTGGTAGCGCATGCGTCCCAGTACAACGAAAGTCCAAAAATAAGAAAAGCATCCTTGGTGACTCTAGACAGGGTAACATTCTTTTGGCTTGTCTTTTTCAGCTATTTTTGAAATTTCGAAAAGAGAAAGAAAGTTACGTATATAATGATGCAATGTTATTTGTTCAAATTGAAATTTCCTGAAGAGCCCGACCCCTTTAACTTTAGAGAAACTTGAAATACTAAAGCCCATCTAATGCACATTTACACTTAAAAGTTGAACTAATACCAATCTAGATTGTTTATAAATTGTGTTTTGTATTTATACAAGGTATATTATAAACAGGTGTCAGAGTACCAATATCAAATTATTGAGAAGTTCCCAATTTGTGTTTTACTTCCAATTCTTTCTTTAGAACAATTCGTGTACCCGATTGATTAAACTCAAATAATCTAAAGTTATATCTAATTATAATAATGCCAGTATGTTATAGTTTTTGTTCAATTGTTATTTGTTAATTCTTTGATGTTTTAGTCCTTATACTAACATGGTTTTTCAATGTTCTTTTTCAGGCTTATCATTCTACTTTTTTGATCGATGGTACCCAAGATCGTATGGTAGGTAATTTCGTATTACTGCCATTGAATTCAAAATATAGAGGCCCTGCTTATCCTGCCAATTCTGATTATGATATAATTGATGAATGTTTAGATTTGTTCCGTGCAAACTCTTTTTTCAAGAATTTCGAAATCAAGTCTCCTGCTGATAGAGTTTTAATCTATGGTATATTATTTATTAATGATTGTCTAAGTAATTTAAAACCAAATACTTCATACAATGAAGCTACCAAAGTACTAACAAATGTAGCACTGGATAATGTTAAGGTCCCTGGTAGTCCTGGTTTTGGTTTAAACACAATTTATTCAATCCCTGTACAGGACCGTAATCAAATGGATTTATTAACTTCTTATATTCAACAATTCCGTCAAGAATTAGCAATGAGATTGTTGGAAAGAATTTATGCGCAATCAAAGGATCATCCATCCAAATTCTGGTTATCCTTCACAAGAAGAAGATTTATGAATAAGTCCTTATAAATCTATAATATTAATCTAAAGATCTTTTAAAACCAATATATCATAAAAAAAAAGGAAATTGTTCTACTATATTATAGTCTCCATTAAATATTTGTATTTACAATTTTTATGTACATGAATTAAGAAAGTAATAATAATAAAAATATAAAATCGGCATAGATTTATTTGAATCTGGCCCGAGGATGTTGAAGAAAGTTATAAATAGAGCGTCAAAATTATTACTGTTTCTGTCTTTGATTTTCTTTTGATTGCCTTTTAGTGGCATTTTGAAATAATTTCAAGGCTTTGTTTTGTAACGCATCTGTACTTCTCTTAATATCATTGACATTTAATTCTTCACTGCTTTCATTCCCTTTAAACTTATTAATCAGAAGCCTGACTTGCTTTAGTTCCTCTAGAATTGGTTTGTATGACTGCTCCAAAGAAATAACTTTCTTATATTGTTCAAATGCACGCTCAGTATCACTAATCATAATATCGGCTTTAGTTATCAATTCAACTCTTTGTCTTACTATATTATCTTTCTCTTTATTCTTGTTCCCTTCTTCTATCATTCTATTAATCTCTTCTTCTGTCAATCCTGAGTTTGCAATAACTGTGATAGATTGTTCCTTTCCACTGCTTTTTTCAGATGCTGACACATTTAGGATACCATCTGCATCAATATCAAAAGTCACAAATATCTGAGGTTTGCCCTTTAACATGGGTTCAATTCCAGTCAATTTAAAATCACCTATTAATTTGTTATCAGAAACCAATCCTCTTTCACCTTGATATACTTTAATATCAACAGCAGTTTGTCCATCAACTCCGGTGCTAAAGACCTCAGTTTTCTTAACAGGAACCGTAGAATTACGTGGAATCAGTGGAGAAAATGCACCTCCATATGTTTCAATACCTAATGTTAAGGGTGTGACATCTAATAACAAAACACTCTTGATTTCACCAGATAAAATACCACCTTGGATTGCAGCACCTAGTGCAACTGATTCATCAGGATTAACCGATGTATTTGGCTTCTTCGAAAATGTTTCTTCTACTAACTTTCTTATTCTTGGCATTCTTGTCATCCCACCAACTAAAATAACGTCATCAATATCTGAAAATTCAATATCTGCATCTTTTATTGCCTTCCTCACTGGATCAATTGTACGATTCATTAAATGCATGGTCATATTATCTAACTCTTCTTCGGTTAACTTTAAATGTATATGTTTCGTCTTCGTTATAAATGGAATATCTACAAATGTTTCCGAAACATGAGATAAGGCAATCTTAGCCTTTTCTGCAGCTTCCCGTATTCTTTGCATTATTTCTCTATTTTCTGTAATGGGTTTTTCATCCAATGTGGAATTTTCATTGATAAACGAATCTATTATATGCTTTACTACAACATTATCAAAATCTTCACCACCCAAGTGTGTGTCACCATTAGTTGAACGAACTTCAAATACTCCATCTTCTATATCCAAAATTGAAATATCAAATGTACCACCACCTAAATCATAAACTGCAACTATGCCGGATTTATCTTTATCATCAAGACCGTAACACAATGCAGCTGCAGTAGGTTCATTAACTACCCTTAATACATTCAATCCCGCTAATCTTCCTGCATCTTTTGTAGCTTGTCTTTGAGAATCATTAAAATAAGCTGGAACAGTTATTACTGCTTTATCAATAGTTTCATCAAGATAATCCTCGGCAGTTTTTTTCAATTCCTTCAATATCACAGAACTTATTTCACTTGGTGAAAATACTTTACCATTTTTAGCGGATAAATATGCCTGACCATTCTGGGGTGAAGGCACAATCTTATATGACATGGATTTAATATCTTTCTGTATCTCAGTAGAGTCAAAAGATCGACCAATAAGTCTCTTAGTTGCGAAGAAAGTATTTTCTGCATTGATACTTGCTTGATGTTTAGCCTTATTTCCAACTAAAAATGAACCACTACGATCAACTGCAACCACCGAAGGTATTGTCCTTTCACCATCAGAGTTTTCAATTATTGTCGATGATTTTTTATTATCAGAATCTTTAATATATGCAACCGCACTATTAGTAGTCCCCAAATCAATACCAATTACCTTAGTGCTTAAATATTTTGAGAGATTAGAAGGAATAAACCTGCTTCCTGGTCTCTTAACACTTCTATTGAAGAATAACATTGTTTTTTAAACCCTAAAAATAAATTACAAATCTAGTTTAACATCATATAACCCCTAAGGACCTATTACTATCCCACAATTTGACAATTCTTATTTACTTCAATATATTTTGTACTTGTAGTCATTTTTCATTATATTATTTTATATGCTTCATATTTTCTAATCCGTCTAAATTACGTATGTTGCGAAATTAAGAATTAAATACACCCATAAAAACTTAAATGTCAGACTCACCCAATATGTAGAATTGATATTTAAAGAAACTAACAATTAAAGAATTGTTTTAAATGGTTTCATATTTAAACTCAACTGGATAATAGTCAATTAGTAATTTAACTCATGATTATTTATTATTACATTTTCTTGCTTTATGTAGATATACAGATGAATTATTTATTTACAAGTAATGATGAGAATGTTACAATGTCCTTTTAAATTGTATCGGAATACAGTAGATACCAAGCTTTATATGTTTTATTTGGAATTAATTTATTATTTGACCAATCTATTTTGTCGAAGTACAGTCCTAATTTTGACATTGAACATCTTTGGAGAAACGGAATGATTCCGTTATTTAATTCCTGATAAACAGAAAGTGTGTCATCATCGTCTCTAACAGTTCTAATGTTTCCTAGATTATCAATTAAACATTTATGATATGATGTATCATCTTTTTGATTACCAATTGCCAACAGACAGTAAATATCTTTTGTGATGTCTGATATATAGAAGGTTCCGACTTCTATTCCGCGTCCAACTGTAGCAAAGGGTAACGTCAACGAATATTGAAATGAATCCACTACATTTGGATTCCTATTCCTTTTTAATTCTTTTAAAATTTCAACTGCTGTCTCAAAAAAAGGAAACTCAAAGTTTAACCTGCCTAGAAGTTCGATTTCTGGTGATTGCAAATAGTAAACTATTTTTCTTATATCTTGTTCACTTCCGTAGCTTTTAATCTTTGATATTTCAAAATATAAATGTATAATCCGTTTATCTATGGTATTCTTACTAATTGAATAATTATCATTCATGACTTTTACTCTTGGTGTTCGTCTTGACTTCCACCATATTGTATGATTACATTTAGAGAGTACTTCATTCTTGAGATCTTCTTGCAATTTATTGACACTAAGAGGTTTGAAAATTTCCTTTGTATATATTGAAAAGTTTAATTGGCGTGTTTGTGAGTCAAAATGTTTCTTTATAATCTTCTTCATTTGTGGCTTTTCTATGACAATTGCTTGTTTATCATCCTTTATGAACACATAACATAAGTGTTTCCTTGATTCATTTCGAACAGTTAAAAAAAATCCACACATGACACTATCAACATTATATATTTTTAATGCCTTTTGAATTATCGATAATTTATGTATAGATAAACCTTTAGTCTCTCCAGAATAAACTCTAACTAAACTACTGTCTTCTATTGCGTATCCATTATAATTGAAATCTCTCTCAAAGAACTTGTTATTAAAGTAGTTCGATATTACAAACAACTTTGATCTTGTAGATATATTTGAAAATATTTCAATAGAAGTGTATATTTCCTGGATATGAGATTTTAAATCGTTAAATGCCTTAACTCTATATTTTAACAGAGTATCAAAACTAGGGTCCAAATAAGAAAATAGAAGAAGAACATTTTCTACATCGCAAGTAGAATTTTCGTTCTTTTTTGGATTTAAAATATCCTCGAATAATATATTTAATCTCATAGAGTGTAAAACTCTTTCAGCAAGTGATATAATTTCAAATGATATCTTGTTATCGCATTTTGTTGGGTCTAACTCGGTTAGATGGTATAAAGATGACATTAAACGTAAAGTATCATACTCATTACGAAAGTCCGAAAGTTTACCAAACAAAAAATCTAATTGATCTACAAAATTAGTAAGTATTTCAACTAATTTTTTTTCAATTAATATCCTGTTACAATAGGTTTCAAACCAATTATATTTTACCACACCATAAAAACCATTCTCACAGCATAATTCCTCATGGTTCAACCAATAGTCATAACAAATTTCTCTCCACAATATCGAGGAAGTCAAACTTCTATTCAATGATCTACTACACAATCTAATATTCAACAGATCATTACATGTTAAGTATTTTGACACACCTAACCAGATATCCAGTGGAAATTTTTCAATGCACATTAGCCAACATTTACAATCACCATATAAATCTCAATCACTTAAAAGATCAATGATTCTTTATTAATTACAATATATCATACATAAAAAGATATCAAGTAAGAGATTTAGAACCGAACCGGATCGAATTATACATTTTACTTCTATTAAACAAATCTACCTCATCATTCAATGATACCTTGCTAATTTCCTTATCCAGATGATTCCTCCTCTGTGATGCTTGTTATCTTCATTTTTTTCTTCTTTTATCTACACTTTTTCACTACAGGAGAATGTGAAATACTTTAATAAAAAGAGATCAAGAACATATAAATAGAATCAGTTTTAAAAAATTAATTAATGAGTTAGATATTACATCAGATTGGACTGAGTGAGAGTGATTAAGGTTTAATTGAATGGAATTGAAGGTATAACTATTATTGTTACTTGTTTTGCGATTATTCTGGGAGTCGGGTTTTGGGTTTTTGTATTTGACACTTTTAGTAGAATTTTAAGATACCATGTTTGCAAAAGCATATTATGGAGCACCTGCTGCTACTGGTAATAAATTGAAATCATCGGTGGTATATTTTGATATTAGGATCAATTCACCTTATAAAGATATTATACTTCTTCAAGGTTCTCCCTTAGAAATGGAACCTTATCCATTGAGTGGAAAGCTAGTTTTTTCTCTTAGCGATGATATTACAGTTAAAAGGGTTTCATTGAAGTTTAGTGGGATATTTAAATTAGAATTCCTACAAATGGGCAGATATAAGGATACAGGGAAATTAGCGAGTATCGTTAAAGAAAAGAAAATAATTTTTGAATGTAAATGGGATAATTTATTAGTGTCACCTCAGGGTAAAATTACAATTGGTGCAGACAATGTCTATAACGAAAGATACAATAACAATGGTACTGGTGCATTGGGTAGGACTTTTTCGAGTTCATCAACAGGATTGAATAAACTTATTAAAAAGGGTACTTTTTATTCTAGCAGTGTATTAGATCTACCAGTCAATGGAGCTACTGGAACCCCTTACGAACATATGGAAGATGAGTTAAAATCATTGTCGTCCTCCACTTCTATCAATTTTAATCTACAGAAAGGGAACTATGAACTACCTTTTAAAATCATGCTGCCTAGTGAAATACCAGAAACTATAGAAGGTTTGCAGAGTGGTAGTATTTTGTATAGTTTTGAAGGACATATTGAAAGAAGAAAAAAATCTGGGATGCCAATAATTATTAGAGATGAAACTGATTATTCAAACTCAAATCCAAAATCTGCTAATGTGAAAACTTATTCTTACAGGTATCATAAATATTTTAGAGTTTTTAGAACTTTAAGTTCAGATAACTTTGCAATGCAGGAGGAAATGAAAGTTGGAAATTCATGGCCTGATAAGTTACAATATGAAGTGAGCATTCCAAGCAGAGCTATCCCAGTTGGAGGGATTACACCAATCTCAATAAAAATATTCCCATTCCAAAAGCATTATATTCTTGAAAAGATAGGTGTTACATTAATACAATTTTATTCAATGAAAGATTCATCTGGTCAGTTATACAATGATGAGGTTGTTGCACTAAAGCAATCTATGACAGATTTTGAAGGTTTTATAAAGATCAATGAAAGGACAGGTTCCCTTATAGATAAAGTTGAAATTGATTCTATGATTAAGATGCCAGATGATTTAAAGAAAGCAACTCAAGATTGTGATATTATCGGTGAAATAATTAGAATACGGCATAAACTTGCAATTCAAATAGTAATGAAGAGACTGGCTTCAGATGGTACAACAAAAATGGTTGAAATCAAAGCCACGATCCCAATTTTATTATTCATATCACCTCAAGTAACATTAAAAGGAAGATACGTTGTACTGGACAACAATTCTGGCCGAATTCATTTTAGATCAGGAAAATTTGTTACTTTGTTTGATAACAACAATTCTAATAATCTGATGACGGAGGCTGTTGTTAACAATACTAATCCAATATTTGTCGATAATACCCCACCGCCAAATTATCAAGAGAGGACCAAAGATAGACTATTGCAGTATAGTACAACCCCATTACCTTATGAACAATTCACCAACACTGATATAATAGATCAATTAATTACAAATAATAATACTGAACAAGACAGGATCACAAACGAAATCGAAGATGAAAATAATAGAGAAGGTACCACAAATAATATCATGCCATTGAATTCTGTGCCCACCTATGATCAAACGATGGACGAAACAACAATTGGAGCTAATAACACAGTGAGAAATTTTTACGTTCCAGCCGGTCCACACGCTAGTGGAATTAGTAATTCCACAACGGTCAATGCTAATGTCCCAGGGAGCACTGCGAATGGCAATGTTGATGGAAACCACAACATAAATACATTTATGAATTCTTCAAATGAAGAAGATGAAACCAATTTTAACTTACAGACTAGTACAGACAATTCCGAAACGTTGGTTGACAGCTCCAATATTATTCGTGAGGAATTCGCACCGAGTTACTCTGATTAAGGTCGATAAACAATTTTTTACCAATTAAAGGAAAAGAAGAATCTACAACGTAGATAGCGAAAGTAGAGTTTTCTATACTATCATCAGAATTAGCTTGTCATTTTAACTTCTTTTCTTTTTCAGTTGTTTATCTTACTGTATTGATTCATATAAATGATGTTGAAATAAAATTTAAGAATTGGACTTTAAATTTTATCTTACGAAAGAATTGCGTAGAATCATTACATGTTGCATAGGTTACTTACTCAAATGTGTGTTAAACAACTTTGTTAAGTGTGTTTTATTTTCTTTGTTCTTTAAAATATTGCGTCTATGAATCTAGAAATGTATCTGTACAAAGGAAAAATCTGATAGAATTTATATTTTCATATTTGACAAATATTTCTTCTCAGAAAAAAGCCAGTTTAATTTAACCGGGTATACCCGTGCTAGCTTAATCCAGTTCGCAAGTCGTGGGAATGTTTTATTAGTTTACTGGTTTATGTCTCTATCCTTGAAGTTTTACCTAAATGGATTATCTACAAAATTTTGAGAAAAGAGGATATAACATTGTTTATATCCTTTATCCGTTCCTTATTAATTATTCTATTAATCAATTTCTTCAACCCAGATGAAACTGGTGGAAAAGCACAGTTTTAATATATATTAGAAAATTACCAAAATTCTCAATAGTAATGAAAATGTTGATTGTTTCTTTACCAACAGGTTGTCATCTTTCGTTGTTGCTCCTGTTTATTTTTTTTTTGTTGCCCACTGTTATTTCCATTTTCTGCCTTTATTATCTCAGATTGAATGATCGGATGCCTCTTGAATGCTTCCTAAACTGTTTTCCGAACTTTAATATATCAGTTTAGTAAGATCACCGCGAAAGAATAATCAATATGTTTTACTTGTCTCTATCTCTCTTTATATTTTAGTACATGTTAGTAGGAATATCTGTTTCCTCATTTGTGTCGTAAGGTTCATCTCTAAGCATCGTTTCTTTTTTTCTTATTTGTCCCACATTTCCCATTTTTAATTCTCTAGCCGCAAACTCTAAATTTTTTGTGTTCTCTTCTCTATTTGTAATTCTTTATAATTCTTTATAATTCTTCTCTTGTTTCTTTTTATGTGTTGTTCTTCTAAAATTTTCAAATTTTATTAATGGGCGTACGTATACTTCTTCTCGAAATCACCGAAGCAAAGAATTAAGAGGAAAAAGGACAAAAATGTGGAAGATTACTGCAGGTGCTTCTGGTAAAAAGTCATATGCCAGTTCTGATTCTGCTTTTTGTTGTTTCGGCTGCATCCTTTAGGGACAAAACCATTATTGTTCTTTCTAAAAACGTATTGCACAAGCCATTATCCAATCGTGCCACAAAAAAGTTTTTCTTTGTATTGCATAAATAAAAAAGAAAAGAAACAATAAAATACAAAATTCAATGTAGTATCGAAAAAAGTGTTATACGACGCTTTACTAATTTCTGAGTAACATTCTTAGAAGAGTGAAAAAGTGTGGTGTTCGGAGATTAACAAAGACACATAGTACATTAGGTCATCTTCTAAGTATTGTTAATTCTGTCTTAAAAGATATAGAGATATAGTGAATAATAATATTGAATTATTACTGTATTGATCCGACAAACATTAGATCACATCTACTTGAATTATTATTTTAAGGAAACATGGAGTTCAAATTACTTTTCAGGATGACATATATATGACGTTATAGATTCTGAGACGAATTTCTCTACTTCCTTCTCTGATAGATTTTACTGTTATCATTACTCTTAATTTAAGAGGCAAGGTTTGTGAATGTTAAGAAGTTTACTGTTCATAATTTCTCCAGGGTTTCAATATCAAAGAAGAAAGATAGAGAAGAGAAACAATTGAATCCTTTCAATAATGGCCTTTATTGTATGGAAAAGAAACAAGAATATCTATCTTTAAAGAATGAAACTCCCTGAATATTGTATTACATTGTAGAGGAAAATTTCAAAATTCAACTCTAACTCAAGAGAATTGAAACTAAAGCCTTCTTTTCCTTGTTATGGTAAAAAACAGAGTAATACACCCTAACATAGTCTAGCCAACTAATGATATTATATTATACTTAAAGAAAGGGACAATCACGTAAACAAGGCAGGTATGGATATAATATTACGAATTTTTCATTTCGTTTATATCAAATCATATGCTGTTCTGTTTTACAGCATTTGTGGCTTTCCTATCTGAGAAGCTCAGTAAAAGGTTCCCCCTTAGTGCCTATAATTTTGTTTCGCTGACATTGTTATTACCAAAAAAAAATTACTTTGTCATTAATTATTAATATCTATCTTACGACATAAATATCCCAACTTAACACTGTCTTTCTTAATTGAGAAACTGAGGAATAGATCGTTGACATGCCACTTGCTTCTGGATCTCTATTAATAGACATTCCTGAGATAATTCTTCGTATTAAAGGTTTCTTCTAATTGTTTTTTGGGTAGAATATTTTCTATCTTTGGCTTTTACTTTTGTCAAACCACACCTTTTAGAAGCACATGCTTCGATAACAACAAATGAACTCTAATTAAATAACAATGATGATGATGTTAATGAGCATCATCATGCTTGCTTGATTGATATTAAGGTTATTTGTTTGGAGATAAACAGACACGGAAATAATCAAATTTATATTTGAAAACTCGCCTACATCTTATTCCGGAGATACAACATCGCAGTTAGGAATATCTCAGTGGTTTAATGAGAACCTAAATTATTAATAAAACAAAGTAAACAAGATCAATTACACAAATAAGTAGATTCGATTATCTCAGACTATTTTTAATTGCTGTTTTGTTTGTGAGGCATTGTAACAGCAATCGAAAAAATTATTTTTAATTGTAAATGTTTCGGATAATAGAACATATTACTGATACAATGAATACAATATAAATTGGTTAATTATAATTTGTTCTATTCTCTTCCAAATTTGCTACTAGGTTTCTTAACCATTCCTCTTTGTACAAGAATTTCTCAATATACAGGAAGGGTTAGCCCCTTATATCCCATTGTACACAATGAACATTGTCATGATAGATGTCACAGATCTTGTGTTCACATACTTGTCAACACGTTAACAAATATCATTGTTTCGATATAGTGGAGAAACTAGAGGAGAAAGGTCAAGAGAAGAAATAGTGATAGAAAGCTACTCAACTACCAGTACGACAATAAGGATGATAATATTAACAACAATGACAACAACAGCAATAGCAATATCAACTTCAACTGCGGCATCGACAACGGTAGGGATAATAAACACCAGAACAACGATACTACCAACAACGGAGCAAAATTTTTTAAAAAAAAAATAAAACACATAAAGATGAAGAAAAACTAGATGAAGAAATTAGAATTTTTGAATGACATTAATCCCTCTCTTGTTGTCTCTACCATCCCTTGATAGAAACATTTTTGGAGGTTTAATTTACCATTTGACAGATATCCGAATCTTGTATTAAAATTATAGTGATAGATATTTTTAAATATATTTTTATATATCTTGCCTATATTCCTTCGATGCTTCAGACAAATTTTGTAGCTAAATGAATTTATGTTTAAAAAAGGATAAAAGACGAATATTACAGTTCTTTTTCTTTTTCCTGAGTGGATGCCAAATCCGTTGTACCCTATCTCCTACCACTATAACACTCAATCCTTTCTTCTCTCCATCATAAGCTGTTCCTACCAACGAAACGGATAGAAATGTACACACGACCAATACTTTTAGTTAACAAACAGTGGTATACTAAATTGCATATAAAATTATTATAATCGTCAGATTTTATTATTCATGAAATTTTCCAAAGTAGAAAAAAAACTATTGTTGTGCATATTATAATAAGAAGAATCTGATACAGCTTTTTCTTATTGATGACACCATTTCTATCGAATTGATTACTACTACTACCATTGCTTCTTCTGCTCCTTCTCCTTCAACATTATCTCCGCAGTATTTTATGCTACCCATTCATTATCTTATGAATTGAATAAATATAGAAGTCTAAATTTCCATTTCAAATCAAATAGAAAAGCCCTCCTAACCCAACGATGTATGAGATAAAACATAATGAAAAAAATTTGCCCTTCCCCTTCTCTTCTTTTCCCCTACAATTAACTTTCTGTTCCACTTACCGAAAAACATTCGAAGAACTTAAAGCAACAATTTGATTGGGAAATAGATACTTTTTGTTGCAACATTCCAGGTTTAATGTACTCTTGCAGAAACCCAGAAATAAGTTTAAATGGCTGTGTTTAAACTACTACCAATTACCACACATCTGTTTAGAGGTTTATGTATGCATGCCTTTTTATTTAGCTTATCAATAGTTTTCTTTGCTTCATTTTCTCGTACCAGCTTATTAATAATATTCGAAATTTCACTTTGTTTCTACAAGTTATATTCGGTGACATCTCTAGTACAGCAGTGTATTAGTCAAGGTGCAACACGAACAACAATAACAAAAGCAATGTTAAACTGAAAATTTTGTTCTTTTGTATGTCTGTGTTTTATCTACTTCTTCTTCATTTTTATTTCCATTTGTCTTGCCTTCTAAAAATAGTTGTGACAAGCCTGCAGTAGCCAGTTTATAACCTTGATCTGTTAAATAAATCAAGCCTGAGATATAGGAATTTAGTTCATTCATTCGTTGTCTTTTCTTATTTTTAGTAAATAACTAGAAATATGACATTACAAGACATATGTTCTCTTGGGTTTATGTAGCCATATCTCTTGGGGGGAAAGGGAGAGGGGAAGGAAGGGAAGAAGGAAGGGAGTTGAATAGTTAATATTAAGTATTAACGTTTGAAGAAGGGATTAAACATAGTTGATATTTCCAGGTAACTCTACCACAATGTCTGTAAATTTCCCTTAGCGTTTCCATTATTGTAGTGATTGTTACCATTTTAATATAGTGCTAACATTTTTCAATATCTTGAAATTAAAAGTTTTTCTTTTTTGGGGTATTGGGTTTCCAATAAGGTATAATACTTTTCTTTTACTATTTTAATTTTTATCAATTAGTAAAATCTTAAAAGAGGACAAGTAATGTCGATTAATAACAAGCAAAGGTAGAATCCTAAGGAATATACCAGTAATCTTTGAAAATTTTGCGTATAGGAGGGATTTGTTACTACTCTTTTTTATGTGATTTTTTGTAAATTTAGTTATATATACTTTTGTTATGTAGTTGAACGTACTATATGTATATGTATATGTGTCAAGAGAAACATACACAGACTACCAGATTAGAGGGACACTGAATCGTAATGAATATCTAGTGTTCTGTTTTTTTAAAATAGCATTTTGTCTTTACTCTCTTCCTTTTCCTGAGTTTGTTTCTTTTTCTCTACGGCTGTTTTGTTTTATCTGGATCAAAAATTCGATATGCAGAATTGAGGTTGTCGATTAGTTTTTTGTCTTTTGATTTCCGTACACTTAATTCATATCTTCCGTAGTATCATCATCATCACCATCATCATTATTTAATGGAGTTTGAACCCCTTTGCATGAACACTGCTCCTACATTACAGGGCATTGACTAATTTGTATTCTATGCGTTACCTTATTTTTTTTTCGAAGCAATGAAAAAACTTTGACAGCTTTAGGTTGGGCCTGTTACTACGTAGTTTCTACCTATACAAGATATATATAGTTTGTATTTCTTTGTTGGCTGATGATAACAATGTACTAGATATTTCCGTATAATTTGTTCTTGGATTTTATTGTTCTCTAGCTTAAGTTGTGGTTTTCTTTTTTGTATCTTGAATTTTATTTTGTTTAAAGAAGTCCTAATGGAAGAAAGACTTCATCAAGATACAAGTGGCTTTTACAGTAAATTACAGGGAAGTGAATATAACAGGGAAACCGAATCTAATATGGGACATTGTTGTATCCTTGTTCGATTTTAAAACTATTATTTCCTAGTTCACCTCAATTTGTTGCTGGGAGCAATGCTGTCCGATGAAATAAAGTCTAGTTTTCTTCTTTTCATGTAACAATATACTTCTTCCTTTCCAAAGAAGGTTGTTTTAGGATTTAGTAATCCTCCTTCCTGTTTAGAATTTCCCTCTAGAATCACTACAAATGTGTGTGTGGTATTTTATACGCTCTCTTGATTTATTTTAAATAGCTATAATTCTTTTTTAATTTTTTTTATTGACTTAGCTATTCTTTCCAATCACATATCTGTCTGTGGAACTTTCTCACTTGCCTTCTTTGTATTTGATAGTAATTATTTTCTTGGTTTATTATTGTTCTCCTTTAGATGTTGTTTTATCTTGAAATTTATAGATATCTATATACTTTTTAACTAACTAGGGATAAATCTAGGAAACTCAATAGAGTTTTTAACATCTTGGTATGGGAGGAAGTATTGTTATTTTCACCATTTCCAATATTGTTTTACGACATTATCATTTGTTCGATCCTGGTTCGCTGTCTTCTCAGTACATGCCTGCTTGCTCTTACTAATTAATTAACTAACTACCTAACTACCTTAATTTATTTTTCTTCAGTTCGAAAATAGTTTTGTCTCGCTCTTCGGCTTTTCTCTTATATTTATCACCTTGCCAATTGTTTCCGTAACGCTACTGCTATTACAAATTTATTGACATATAAATTATTCTTATTTATATATAACTGACATATAATTTAATAGGTTTTAGATATCGAAATACTGATCATATTTTATCATTATTTGGAATTAAATTTAGACTTCATTTGATTACTCTTTTTTTTATTAAAAATATTTGACTATTTCCATTTATTTCTTAAATCCGAAAGTTTTTTTACTTTGACTGGTTGATTACTATTTGAAATAGTATTTAAATAAAGTTAAACTATAATAAAATACTCGCATTGATTTGTATTTCAAATGTGCCAATACTGGAAATTTATTAACTGACTATAATTCAATTGAAATATATTTTCAGCTGATTATCATCATTTAAAAAGATCGTTAAAACTTAAAACACTATAATTTTTTTTGTCACCTTAATATTTTACTTCAATTTTAATTCCCTGCTTTGATCTTATTGGTCATTACAACATTTTTATACTTATCGAAAGTATAGACAATATGAAATCCTCGACCAATTGGAAACATATTTGTTCCTACTGCAATAGAGCCTTTTCAAGGTCTGAACATAAGGCAAGACATGAAAGGTCGCACACAGGAACAAAACCTTATGAATGTAAAGTGTGTCTGAGAGAGTTTGTTAGACGTGATTTATTACAGAGACATATTAGAACTGTTCACAAATCTTTGTTGTTATCAAAAGCGTCAAAACGACAAGATCATGGTAATAACAATAATATTAGTAGTAGTAATAACAACAATGACGATTCCGTTAAAGAAAAATCTAATGATAATAATAGCAATAATTCAAAGGAAGATTTGTCTGCAATTTCTGAAAAAATGGTTAACTCACTAAATAAAAGAAATTTCTCAAATTCAAATTTGATTACTTTAAAATTTCAACCATATGGTTCAAAAGGTTATAATGAAATTATATCTCCATCACTTTCCAAAAATAAAAGCTTTAAAAGGAAAAGTTATTTAGTAGAACTACAACGATGCATTACTATGAACAATGAAAGATTACAAGTCCCAATTGATTCTCTCTCAACTTTCTATGACAGGGGTTTAACAGAGCTAATGAATTCATTACCCAATCATAATTTTAACGTCAACTCAAAAGAAATTGTATTTGTACTAATATGCATAGGATCAATGATAACCTATGATCCACAGTTCAATGACATTTGGAATGTTACTTGGTATTCATTCTTAATTTCAGATGTTAAAGATGCACAGCCTAATAAAAATTTTATTCCTATGACAGTTTTGTTATACCTAACGCTTTCGATCGAATTTTCTCTAAATATATGTGATGAAACAAAGTCAAAAATAGCATACACTGAATATTATAAAAGATTGACTTATTCGATATCGAACAATCAAACCTATAATGCCGAAGAGTTAGAACTAATGTTACATATATTTTCAAAGTTAATCAGAATCCTTGATGTAAGGACAAATGACGACTCAAATTCACAAATCTTATATATATATAACTGGTTCATGAACCAGAAACTTTCCGATAATGGTGAAACCTTGATCTATTATATGAAGCATTTCCTTTCTATAAGCAATGTTGTATTACCCATAAGAACACTAAACCTTCTGACCGATGCCTTTTATTGTGAATTCTTATTACAATATCCAAACTTCCAAAACATTATTGAATACAATACGTCTATTATATTATTATTAAAAATGCATATACATCTGATAAATGGTCAAAAATCAAACATTCAATTAGAGTCTTCGATTGAGAAATTCTTTTCGACATTATCCATTAAGACAATTTCTCAAAGATTTTGGGTCTTATTAGAAATTTGTTGGTTAGATTTCTTAAAATACTACAGTATCCTATCGAATTCAACTCCAGATTCCAATTGGTTGCTATTCAAAAGTCCAGAAGAACTTTCGCTTTATGAAAGTATTGATATTGGGAAACTTACTGATAATTTTATTATTCCGACATTAGTAGTACTCTCTATTTTCAATTCTCAAGAGAAGAATTTTATTACAGAAAGAATGCTACCTTTGGTAATGGATGTGATTGAATTTCAAGTAAAACTATTTGCTTCTGAAATTAATAAGATTGCAAATGGCATAGATTTAACTGTATCACTAAACGATTGTACTTTAAAGCTATTATTTTCAGCTTGGACAAATATTTTATATCAAGAAAGAACTAATAATGGTGAAAAGGATTCTGATGAATTATTAATTGTTGGGAATTTTGTGACAACCTTTATTCAAAACTCATTTAATGGAAAGACGATGAATCATGCAAATGCCTCTTTGTCATATCATTATTTCATACGTGCAATAATGAAAAATTTGAAAGCAAATATCTTAATGGACAAATTAATAACTTCAAATAATGAATTTACTCAAGAGTCTAAATCGATACTAATTCGAATTTGGGAGAATTTGCAATCAATTATAAAGCAATATTGGAACCCTCCGATAATACCACCTTCTGTAGATGCTAACGTTATTATAGAAAAGGAAAGAACGTTATCAAGTCCGACAGCATCAAACGCAGAAGATTTTGAACCGAAAAGTATTAAAATTATTTTGCCGTTACCAACAGCTATGAATCTTGAGCCATCGGGTTCACAAAGTACATATATACCGTCCATCAATCATGTACCTCAATTGCAAAGTGTTGGTATGGGATATGGGCAAAGCTCTAATTCTCTAAGTGTTAATTCGAATAGTTTGATTAGGAGTACTTCCTTTCTTGGAAATCCTTTAACGCCTGTATCTATGGAAAAACAACAGATAAGCATGTTTGACAGTGAAGCTAATAAATCTGTAACCAACGGTTTATCGATAAATTATACCGGAAACCAAAGTAATCAATTTCAGTATTTGAACATTAACAATAGCATTAATACAAATAGTACCAGTATCCCTGCATCAGTAGGTCATAACAATAATCAAAATGGACGTTTACCTTCGACGACAGAGTTATTTGGTGATTGCATAGAATAGACTTTATTTAACTGACATTTGCATATAGCTTTAATATATGCAATTAGAGTTATTTGAATTATAGCTATATAATTATATTTCTCTATGTATATAAAAAGTGAAAATATTTCAAAATAACATTAATTTAGAAAATTATACTACCATACAAATTATATTAGTTTAAATAAGATTTTTTTTTATTTTCAATTGATATCCAATTCACCTAATAGACGAAACCTAAAATTTTACCAGAGACATGCTTTCTTCTAGCTTCTTCATGGTCCATAATACCGGCAGAAGTAGTAAGAATAACGTAACCAAATTGTCTAGCTGGCAATAAGTTAGCAGTCCATTTTTCAATATCATCAATCTTGACATTGAATCTTGGAGAGATAACACCACATTTGTTCAATCTACCATTTAGTTGGATAACAATCTTTCCTGATCTGTGATCATCGACGTATTCGAATTCACCAATGTAACCTACAAGAATAATTTAAAAAAACGTTAGTATCACTATTGTGAAATAAAAAAACACTAATTATGATGACAAGAAATTCATAGAAAAATTTAATCAAATGTAAGTATTCAAGGTTGAAAAGATGCATTACCGTAATTCTCAAAATTTAGCAAAGATAAATAAAGAAATTGTTGAAGAGACATTGCAAACCAATCAAGAAAATAACTGGTTTAACGAGATGTCGAGGAAAAGTAAACGGTTTGGAATACTGACAAAATTTCAAACCGTGTAAGAAGCATTTCCACATTCATTCTCCCGGACACTTAAAAGACAGTATGGGACTGAAATGAAATCCAATAGGAAGACATTTTAGCATTTGACACTATCCGATCAAACCATCCAGTTATCAGTCCGGGATCTAAAATATTAATAATATACGCAATCGCAAAATCTCTTTAACAACTTCAATATCTTTCAAAATTTGGAATTGAAAAGTACTTGTAATACAGCACAACCTATAATAAATACATCGCAATGAATAAATTTATTATGAATAATATAATTTCTTCTCATCACATCATTGTAAAATCTTTAGTTAAAATTTAAAACATACCATGTTTTTGGATGACTTGTAAGAATTTGATGATAACCTTTGAAGATGGTCTGATTAAAACTTGACGCTTACCAGTTTTTTCAGCGTTGTTAATGGCATTTAAAGCATCAGCTAAAACAGAAGTACGAGTCATTGTTTAAAATTAACTAAAAAAAAGTATGAGTGAAATAGGAAACTGTTAGTACTAAAAAAAAGTATTTCTGGGATTGCAAAGCGAAGCATTAGAAACCAGAAATCCAATGGAAAGATTACGATAATTTTACAGGCCAAGTGAAGAGAATAAGATATTATTTTAAATTGTTCACGTCAATTTTCAAAGTTAACAATGATATAGAGAATAATAAGTGTCCCAAAAGAAAATATTCGACATTCAAATGTGAATACGAACTCTCAGGATTTAAAATTCTAATCGAGATGATGAGATTCATCTACTAAGTTGAACAAAGGTATCATAGACATGTACTTTAGTAAGAATATTCAAGTTCTTCAGAACAATTGAATACTTATCCAAAACATTACTTGTAAAAACTAAACTTAATGTACAGTACAGTTGCTATGATTCTGTCAACAAATCAAAGTATAAACCACTTCTGCGATTGCGGAAGAAGAAATTGACTATCGGAACAAAAGTAAAATAATATATATGATCTCTTAACTCTCACACCTGAGTTCCTTGCAAAAATAATACTAGAATATCTTTCGATAAAACTACTATTTCTTCGATGCCACACTATAGGTACAAATCACGGACAATAAATTTTCTTGGATAAGAACATTTATTATCTTTTAGATCAAACTAACTACATACATGTAATATGAGATGTGAATTGGCCTAGTGTTGGTTATCTTGTATAAATAGGAAACAAAAAATAATTGAAATAATACTGACTATAACTAGTTAAAGTTAATGTAACAAACAGTACAGAGAATGATGAAATATTTCATAGAATCGTTCGGCTTTTATATACAATTTCGAAAAGTTTCAAAAATTTCGAATTCGACAAAAAAAAATTTTTTTTTATTGTTTTCAGTTTCTTGTATATACGTAGATAGTGATGATACTCGAGTGGCTTACAAGTGTATAAAGTTACTGTTGTTGTACAGCAGGTTGTTAGTACTTTGTATTCTCCATTACCAAAATTGGCAGTCTATGGCCGGGTTACCCAATCACATTAGAAAATTGTAGAAATTGAGGTGGTATAGATAGATTGGATTCATCTGGCGTCACTAGGGTTAGTATATTATACAGACTTAAACTTGTAGGTAACTTAATGGTAGGATAAGATATGATTTCTTGTACGAGTGTATTCATTGTGATTGTTTCTTGGTCTTTATTGTCTGGTAAATTGGTATATTTAAACTTACCATGTTTAAATGGGGTCGCTAGTAGTGGTTCTGGCAAGGAACTGACGTTTCAGTACTTGTTCACGTGACTTCAGATAAATTTGTCAGCTGCTACTCATAGTAAGAAATATGACTTTAGTTTAAAATAGCATCCATCACACGCTCTTTGGAAACACTGATACAAATTCAAGATATATTGTGGAGTATTTTTAAGTAATTTTTAATCCTCAATCACTGTTCTTGTTGTCTACTTATACATACTTCTAACTCACATAGAACCTATTTATAGACTTACTGTCACATATCATCTAGACATGTGTTTTAGATTGGAAGATTCTGGTTTAAAGCAACCTATTACCCTGCCTTTCTCTTTCCAACTTACTACATTACAATCGGCAAGATACGAAATACATATTACTTTCTACGTAACAAACGATGGTTTCTATGTAATTATTAAATAAAACTCATTTATTAAATAAGTTCATGCTGATATTTAATATTGGCTTTATCTATAAAGCACTTTGACAAGTTAATAAAAACTATAATATAACGTATATTTGTTGTTCAATCAAATCAAGAAATCCACTTCAACGTTCAGTAACTTCGGTAGGGATGTCTTCCAGTGAAAGAGCATGTATGTTATGTGGGATAGTACAGACAACTAACGAATTTTCAAGAGAAGGTTGTCCAAACTGCCAAGGTATATTTGAAGAAGCTGGTGTCTCTACAATGGAATGTACCTCACCATCTTTTGAAGGTTTGGTGGGTATGTGTAAGCCAAGCAAATCTTGGGTAGCCAAATGGTTAAATGTAGACCAAAATATCCCAGGCATGTACGCTGTTAAAGTTGATGGTAGATTGCCTATCGAGGTTGTAGATTTGTTACCACATTATAAGCCAAGAGATGGTAGTCAAGTCGAATAGACAAATTTATGTCATGGGGTTTATAATAACAATAGTATACATATAATTGCATAATTCTGCTTTTGTTTATGTCATTAGTTGTAACGTTGTGTAATTTTATATTATTTTTTGGTTGTATATTTTGTAATTTAATGCATTTTTGAAAATAAGTGAATATGGTACTTGTGCTTTTTCTCTACTATCTTAAAAGATAATATACCGATTAAGTAGGGCTATTAACTGCTTCTATATCCTTTTTGCTTAGATATACGAAAATATACGGTATAGAAACTAATATCATTTCGAAAATATAAAAGTTTAAAAAATTGAATTTAAAGAAGTGATTATGAAAGTAACTAAAGAAAGATAGAAAAGATGTGAAATTGCTAATAAAAACATATCAATTGGATATCTACTACAGATGTTATCAAGGGCTTTGTGTATACGACCTGTAAGGCCTACTACGTTGTCTATCCTGAGAGGGAATACTCTCAAATCACCAAAGTTTTCAACTATATCGTATGTTGCTGAAAATTTTGAAACTTTACATGAAGCTTCAAAATTACCATGGCTAATTTTAATTCCAGCAACAACAGTCTTAATGAGAACGTTTTTAACATTACCATTGAGTATATTACAAAGAAAAAGATTGGTAAAACAAAATGAATTGAGAAACATCGTATCATCAATATCACCGGTGGTAAAATTTAGATTAGCTCAAACTCAAAAGCTTACACCTGAGCAGATAACATATTTATCAATGAAAGAAACTAGAAAAAGACAGAAGAAACTATTTAAAAAATATAACGTAGATATGTGGAAAAATGTACTATTACCATTAGTACAAATACCTTTATGGGTAACAATTTCCTTAGGTATAAGGAAACTTACGGATGGCAGCACTACACTAATTGAAACGAATAACATATATAATATATTAGATGTCAGCACTGATTTGAGTTTAGCATTAGATTCGGCTCCTTTTTTGTTGCCAATAGTACTAGGTACTGTGTCATTAATTAATGTTGAATATAATGGAATCATGTTCAATAAGAGAAACTTTAAAGGTTATGACAATACGAAATTATCCAAAACCACACAAAGCATACTGACTGTATCAAGATTAGGTAGTATATTCATGATGGGTGTTTCATCACAAGCATCGATTTTATTAACCGTTTATTGGATAACATCTCAAGTGTTCTCTTTAATACAGAACTATATTCTTGATACTTTATGGCCGTTACATAATAATGACACTAACATGTAAATATATACTGCATATTTATGGAAAGGAAAAAGAAAGTACGATTGTTCTATAGTGAATACGATAATAATTTAAATTTATAGATTATAATTTACAAAATGACTACTCATTTGAAATATAATTAAAAAATATAATGAAATTTAATATAAATAATGACAAAATCATGATAGTACCAGTAATTAAACTGTCTATTCTATGGATCTTTAGATGTTTTTTTCTTGAGTTGAGATGACACTAAATGCTTAGTTAGCCTTCTTAGCGTTTTGTTCAGCATTCTTCTTCATTCTTTCTTCTCTAGCAGCCTTAGCTTCTGGACCAGCTTCAGTGTCCAAACAGAAATCCCACCATCTGAAAGAAGAAGCGTAGTTACCAATGAAGTAGTGGTGATGTAAATCGTGATGTTCAGCACCGGCCCAGAATGGTAAGAACTTGTTCAAAGACCATGGGAAATCGTAACCAGAGTGAGAGTCAACGGCTTGGAATAATCTTAAAACAACCCATAAGGATAAAGTGAACAAATGTAATTTACCAGTGTATAAAACGTATAGAATTGGCATACCAACGGTACCGAAACCTAAGGATAAAGTTTCAGCTGGATGAGCATATTCAGCAGATAAACCGAATGGAGCAGCGTATCTATGATGTTGCTTGTGAATGTACTTGTAAAAGACACCGTAATGGAATAAACGGTGAGCCCAGTAATGCCACATATCTTCTAAAGCAAAGAATAAACCAATTTCCAAAGTCATTCTCTTTAGAGTTGGGAATGGAACTTGAACAGAGATACCTAATTTTTCACACATTGGGTGGAAAGTCCAGATTGGGATGGCTTCGACTAAGAAATGGGATAAGACGACAGATTTGAAACAGTGCCATTGTTCCTTAGCAGATGGGATTTTAGTTGGTTGAATCTTCCATCTTCTGAAGTATGGGATTTGATCTATGACGAACCATGGTAAACATCTAGCAAAGTAGGTGAATTCATGCAATAAAAAGAACATCAAACCGGTAGCTAGGATATCATTGCTCATGTAAGTATACCAAGCGGCCCAGTATTGTTCCATAACATTTAATTGTGGTTGAGAGGTTATGACATTTTGCAAAGTCTTTGAGAAGGAGTCATCCCTCAAAAGTTCAGAAAGTGTTGAATTACTGAAAACAGCAGACATTCTCTTGGTACTAGAAGTTGTTGTTGAGTTGAATCGACTGGTATTCTGTATATCAAGAATTAAAAGACGATGAGAAATGATTAGTATAAAAGAATAAAGTCTGGTCTATATATATATAAAGAAAAATTATTAAAATGAGATGCATACGTTAATCAAAGTAAGTATGTGTCTATATTTATATATTATAAATGAGTATGTGAATGAGCAGGTAATAAGTATTACCAAAGAGAACTTAGAGTAAAAAAGTAGAAAATTTTTTATTTCCTTCCTCTTCTTCTTCCTTTCCTATTGCATTAACTACCACTTAATAAACCTCTTCTCTAACATTTTCACTAGAACAAAAGGAATTCCTAAAACAATAGTAACAATAAAATAAAAAATGAAGATATGACAAAATAAATTATAAAAAATAATAGTACAAACTACCTCATCTCGACCTACCCAATATCCTCGTTTAAGCAACACTATAACCACTACCGCAAATACAACACATTTATCAATATATATCTATATATCTTAATCTATACAGCGAAAATGTGCTTTCAAGATTCAATCGAAATAATAACAGAAACCAGATGCACCAAAATAAAAAAGAGTTTTTTGTTTTGGTTAGCTCATCTAATTTAGAAAGAATATGCAGAAGAATAATAGTAACAACACTATTTTTTAAGTAGAAAATATTACCTGTACTAGAAATAAACTAGTTCTGTTAAGTTAGATTTGGTTGCTACTAAACTAATCTAACAGAAAATAGGAAATGCCTTTCTCAATAACGTTAATTTTTTCAATAAATTTTTTTTTTTTTTAATTTTAAGTTAATTTAGTATAGTATAGCATACTATGTAAGGATTCATCAGTAAATAAATAAATAATAACCTTTCAATATGAAACCCGAGAAAATTAACGACAAGAAATGGCATCAACTCTCTTTCTTTCTGTATAGGAAGACTACGAAATTGATGTATCCAGCGTACGAACGACAAACTAAAAGAAACTACAATAAAACAGGCAGAGCACGCTATTCTGAAGAAACGTCAGAAAGATCAATCTATAGGAATGAAATGGAATGAATGGGTAGCAATGATGCTCGCCAGTATTTTAGATCAGGTTTCATGGGATAATGTGATTCCTGCCAGTCAAAGGATTAAAGAGTAGCATTGAATGTGTAATATCGGTTTAATGATTTTTCATCATCCACATTAAATTTCAATTATGTATCTACTTTTCTGCAAGAAATATAGAACCACTTGAGTAAATTTTAGCGTATAGTTCACTAAAAAAAGTAAATATATAAATTTTTCAATAGCAGTAGCAATAACAATACTAACAGTATAAATTCAATTACGAGAGAGTTAGTTACTCTAAACGAATTCATCTAACCAATCCACGTAAGTTTTTCACCCATAGTAAAATTCATTGCAAGATAATTATTTTATCAGTAATATTGACCAAGACGATTATTTGACTAAAAAAATTTCGATCTATACAGCAAGCTTTCTTTGGCAGCAAAAAAAAAAGAAGTTAAAAAAAAGACATGATGTTAATGTTATTAGCTACTGTCCAGGACTATCGTGTTACAAAATGATATATCTTGGACCTCAAACGAGAAGAGTATCAAGCAATGCCTTACAGTAAACTGAACAAGTGATTGTGATAACTCTGTAGGAATCGGACTAAAAAAGCAATTGCAATTAAAAACTACGTGGATGGGTGGGTGTGTTCTCACTAAATGGTATTTCCACTTCCTGTTATATCTCGGATACATCGATTTGGGTCGCACTACTAAACTGTGCATCTATCTCATCTGAATATGTCTTTTCGAATCATACTGGATAGTGAGGAAGCGGATAGGACTGGATTATTTTTATCTTTTTATTTTCTTTTTGGTTTGGTTTGGTCTTCTATCATTTTACTTACCAGTGCGTCCGTCCTCAGTGCTCGACGCAGGAATCCGACTCAAATAAAAAGAAATATGCAGTATAAATACTGAATTAAATGGTAATATGCTGTTTTAGGATATTTTCAACTTGAGAGATGAGCATTGGTTAAGAGAAGTGGTCGTACATTGACAATTGACAAAATATGAAATCAGAGCCTCTTAGTGAACTCAGGATATGCAAGAGAAGGTGATACAGAATAAGAAACACAGACAAAAAGAAATTTTGAAACTTGTTTTAGTTCTGGCTCCTATACGAGATATATATTGTAATAGCAAACGATAGACATCGATCCTAAATTAATTGGCGGTGAATGAGATGTTATTACTAAGATGGGAGGTATTTGAGCGATGAGATAGATAGACATGGTGGATTGATGATCAAGGAATTAATCTTTTTTTATTTTTTGCAGAGATGTAATTAACAATTTTGATTTAGTTTTATGCCTTCGCCATTTCCAATGTTAAAGGAAGATAATGTTGATTCATGAGCAAGTAACTCGAATTTTTGATGGTGTGTTTGTATGAGATGATTATTGATTGCGTTTAGCTCATTGTGTTTTTATCCTGTAAGCGACCGACCATTTCTTATTGTGCTCCATCGAATTTAAAAATATGTTTCTGCGTATAATTTTGTTTCCTATAAATCTTTCCATTGACTGATTATTTAGTTTAAAATTAGATAAAAAGGTATTCATACGACCGTCAGATAGAAAAGCAGGCTGAATTTCTTGTTTGCGGTCGTTCCCATTCATTCATTTATCCATTGATAATTTCCGTACGATGACTTATTGTCTTCTCTGTTTTTAACTTGGATAATGAAACTCGTTCTTTGACTTAACTAAATATATATGTTGTCTGCAATTGTAATGTGAGTGAAGTGCTTAAATTGACACTTCGTCCTATGAACGAATATTTCATTTCCCTAAATCTATATTTTAAAAGTTCTTATTCAGCGGCGGTTTATTGATTAATCGATGCTGTTGCCCATAATTTTTGTTTTTCTTTGGGGGGAGGCTTGTCGTTAACTCCAAACGAAATTAAACTTCTTACTTGGATCATATCATGTTCGGAGAATTCTCAATCTTATACATGTTAATATCGTAATCAAATATTTACTGGCAACGAAACAGAAATATGAGTTCCTCAAACTAAATGTTCGTATGAAACATTTTGCCTATACATGCTTTGTTTCTTCCCATTCTAAGGATACGCTCAAACATTATCCTAGTAACTATCAATCGATCTATTTTGCTCTTCTCAAACGTTTCAAATTTAATTTACTCTCCACAAAATTCTTTATAATTGCTCTTACTATATCTTAAATTTTAGTGGTACTCTAAGAGCAATCGATTGAGCAATCTTCCCATGGTCAGTAGGATTTCAAAAACAAATTTACTCGAATGTCATACCTCTAAGTGTATAGATAAAGACATTGTCAGTGGTCTAAACCTGGGCATCTTCCAAACGTTAACTAAATATCTAAACTAAGTCACGTGCAACTATATTAAAATGTTCGTTGCAAATTATTTATCTTTCCTCTTTTACAAGTACAAGAAATGGTCACATGACTAAACATTTTTCTCGTCTTAGTCACGTGCCACCGAGAGTATCGAACCATGAATTGAATTTCTCGTCTCTTTTTGGAATATTCTGCAATTTCCCGATCTGTTTGGCGACTATGATCTGGAAATTTGAATGTAGTTGTAACGGCTGTGAGATCAGATTAGTTGATTAAGTTTTGATTAATCGACATCATCGACATCATTGACCCATATCGAATTCTAAACTTGAATGCAAGTGCATTGAGAATAATGATTATATAAAAACATTCTCTGCTATCGTCGGTTCTCCTGCTTTGATGGCTGTTTTTGCTGCATTCCTTCATACTTCATGTGAATCAAGATTAATTAAATTGTTGATTTGGAATAATAGTAACAATAATAAAGTTAAACTTGTTGCCATTAATTTATATCCATTTTATTATTTTTAATATCAATTTCTTCAGAACAGCATATAAACTAAACTTACTTCCTATCTCAGTTCAAGAGTTCTACAAATTTGATACTGCAAGTATAAAATATTAAATACTGGAGAAAGTAAGAAACTTTGCTCAATTTTAAGAGACATGGGTTTTATCAATAAAAAATATTTGAGATTGGTCTTATACTCGATCTTATTGGTAACTTTCTTGGGTTCATTCAAATATGTGAAGAGAGTCACCCATAATGAAACAGAGAATATTAATAATGGTGATCAAGTCATTGTAGATGTTGGTATTCTTCAATGTGTTCATATGTTCTCCATGGAAATTTGTCCTCGTATCTTACATTCAACTGGTCACTCTAAAGGCACCACCAGAAAAATTGTAAGAAAGGATTTGAAGGCAAAAACCGGTAGTATAAGACTTGCAAATTACATCTATTATGATCATATTTCAAAAAACTTGGCTAAAAAGGATTTCATTACTGGTATAACAAGTGACAATTCTGATAGAAAACAAAAATATGATAAATTAGCTAAAAATATATTCGTCACAAGAAATGGTAAAAGAGATTCTACCATTAAAGGCATTGATGTTTTGTTCAACGTTGAGGTAGATCCGAGATTAAAATGGAATATAATAGATGATATCTCTCTTCCTGGTAACAGCAAATGGACAAAACTTTCAGTATATAAACCAAATAGTTCGAAAGAAGTTTTACCAGAAATTCAGTTAGGTGTTAAGGGTAGAACTAATAAATTCAAAATTTTACAATTGGCTGATTTGCATTATTCAACTTTAGATGGAGAGTGTAGGGATGAATACCCAAAAACTGAAGATTGTAACGCAGATTTTAAAACAAGAACTTTTATTGAATCGATTTTGAACTTGGATAGACCTGATTTGGTTGTTTTCACTGGTGATCAAATAATGGGTAGTCAATGTTCTTTAGACGCCACTAGTGCCCTGTTTAAAGTTGTAAATCCTATTATAAGAAGAAAAATTCCTTGGACAATGGTATGGGGAAACCATGATGATGAAGGTTCCTTATCAAGAGTTCAGCTATCAAATCTAGCAATGAGTTTGCCTTATTCTATGTTTCGCTATAATCCAAATTTTGACACATCTGACAATACTTTTGGTACTGGTAATTATATTCATAAGATTAGGGCTTCCGATGGTTCTCCTCTAGCATCTCTAATATTCTTGGATTCACATAAGAAAGCGACAACAAAAACTGGTAAAGTTAAGCTCGGGTATGATTGGATAAAGGAATCTCAACTAAATTATGTCAAAGAAAATTATGGAACAGAAACACCATTAAATATGGCTTTCTTCCATATTCCATTACCTGAATTCTTAAATACTAAATCTGATGAAGGTGTGAAAAATGTAATTGTAGGTTTATTTAAAGAAGGTGTAACAGCACCACGTTATAATTCTGGTGCGTTAGACGTATTGAAATCATTAAAGGTTCAAGTCGTAGGTGTAGGTCACGACCATTGTAATGACTATTGTTTGTTAGAGAAATCTAAGAAATACGGCACTTGGCTATGTTTTGGAGGTGCCGCAGGTGAAGGTGGTTACGGTGGTTATGGAGGAACTGAAAGAAGGGTCAGACTATATGAAATTAATGGCAAAGATCTAAGTATCAAGACTTGGAAACGTTTAAATAGTAAGCCTAAGGAAAAATTCGAAGAACAATTACTAGTACAAAACGGCGTATCATTATAGACTATTTTAAATAGGCGACCCTTGTCGTAATTTATATGCTATATAGTTAGATGATGGTCTAATTCCCATCAATACCTTATGAGGTAATGTAACTTTATCATCAGATTCCATTGTCTCTCCTTCCGTAACTTCTCCTTCTCCTTCTCCTTCTCCTAAAGGTTCTTCAACCTCATCATAATCCATTCTTTTTGATTTCATCCATCTATTTAAAGATATCGTAAAGTTAGGATCATCACTATTCAAAAGTCTTTCACTTACATTAACAGATGGTCCTGGAAACCATAAAACCTCTCCCCTATTATTCCTACCCTTGACAACATTGTTTTTGCCATATCTTCTAACCTGGCTGTTGTAATCTGATCTATGAAGAAATTCAGTATCGTTATTTATAGAAATAGGTATCACATAAGCACCCGTAGTCTCAACTATAATTTGGCCCACACTATTTTTTGAAGCTTTACTAGTTAAGTTATTAACCATTTTTGATAAATTGTGATTATTTGGCTTCCTTTTGTTCATTTGATATTCCTTTAAATTTTGTCTTTTCGCTACCTTCAACTTCTCAATTGTTTTGCCTGACATTATTTCATCAGTATGTTTTGGTTGTTGAACTGGCTTTGTAATATTTTGTCTGACTGTATTGATTACAGGTGAGGATGTCATTGCTTTAGATACAGGAGGTGTGGTTGTTGTCTTTATGTTCTTCATTGCAGTCATCTTAACACTTGAATTACCTGTTCTTGGTAAAGAGTTTGCAGTAGTTGTATTGGTCACTAATGTACCCGTCTCATAATTAACAAGTCCAGGTTCAGATGGGTCACCAGGTCTTATAATATAACGAGGACATTCATCAGACGTAGAATATTCACCTAAATCATCTTTCGAAATTTTGGGCCTCAAGTAAACTGCACCCATTAAAGGTGGGCCATTCTTCGAACCTAATGTTGGATCTGGTAGAGGTTGATTGATTGAAGCATTTGCAGGTAACAGATGCCTCAGTGGAGAAGGATACTTAAAAAATTTTCTACCATTTACAGGAATAGTAACTTCTTCATGGTCACGAATTTCTTCCGGTAAACAAGCTTTCCATGTTCTGATCTTATTAAATACTTTATCATTTTCATTGTAACGGAATTCACAAACAAATAATGGACCATCAACTTTTACATCTGGGTCACCACGCTGATATCTTGTAAAATGAACCACGTAACATTGACATAGTATATCTTCTATGAGATGATCTCTATATTGACCAGTCTTGACAACTTCATTTTTGTAAAATAGTCTATCAACTCTATGAACTGTTTGTTCTGGTCTAATATACCAACAAGCATTTAGCCATTGCTTACCGTCAGGGGTTTTCCAAAACTTGAAAACTTGACCAACAGTAGGCTTTGAAGGATCATTTGGATTTGCTAATAAAACCCAATCACCAATATTATATATTTTTCCCTGAATTTGAATACTATCCAGAGGGTATTTTACTTCACCTTCTGGCATGTAGTCAGTGTCAGGTTTGCTTAGTTCCTGTTCTACCATTAAATTAAAATCTTTTTCCAATAGAGCATGTCTTTTAAGGTTATGAGGACTATTAAGGTTTGCAATCTTATAATTCGAAAGCATTAAATTCATTTCATCATGGAAAGTCTTGAAATCTTTGTATTTTCTTGTTTTCACTTTCTTCCTTATATCTTCAAGAGATATTGGATTTTTTATTAGTTGATAATATTGAGGAAATGATTCTTTACTTGGTAGTTTCTCGAATGTAAGAGTTAATGGTTCTCCAGCTTGATCTACAACTTTTCTTAACATCTTAAAAATATTTTTAATTCTTTGGACATACGGAAGATCTATTACAGGGGGTCTACCACGCCTTACATGAGTTCTCTTTTGTTTTGAATTTTGTTGTTGTATTTGCAATTGTTGAGGTGGTTGAGACTGTCTGAATGATGACATTGGTTGTGGGGTTGTAGATTGTGAAATTGGCGCGGACGAAAACGATGGAGAATCTCCTGAATTATTTAAGGAAGTTCTCATAAATGTCATTGAACCTTGACTGTTATTCAAATCCTGAGGATTAATTTGTACCTGTTGCATTGTTGTTGTGGCTGGTCTCATTTGTAAATTTTGTGTATTTACTACATTCATGTTCATATTATTGTTATTGAAGTTATTATTTCCATTATTGATATTTACAAATTTTGTTTGAGGTTGCTGAAGTTGCTGAGGTTGAGGCTGTTGGGGTTGAGGTTGTTGTATTTGTACTTGCTTCACTTGCGGTTGTGGTTGTTGAATAAACTGTTGCTGCTGCTGCTGTTGTTGTTGTTGTTGTTGTTGTTGAGGTAATTGCTGCTGTATATTTACCATATTATTGTTAAAATTAGTATTACTTTGTAAATTCAATGAATCCAGTGGATTACCTAAATTTGGGAAATATAAATTTGGATAAAATTTTCTTAAATTTGGAACTAAAGAATTTCTAATATGATTTTCTAAAATATTTGCATACTTTACAATTACTGAAGTAGGAGTATTATAAAGTTTTGCATTCCAAGGAATAAATGCCACATCGTTAACAAATAGTTGTGGATCGTTATAACCTTGTAATCTTTTTTTCAAAGTATTAAAAGAGATTGGATTTTTAACTAAAGCGTAATAATCAGGATATTCCTTTTTTGAAGGTAATACATTAAAGATAGGATGTATCTCTAGATTGTTCTCCTCCTTTACTCTGAATAGCTCATCGTATTCATTTTTCAATCTCTTGTATAATAGTTGTGTATCATCATCACACATTTTCTAAAATACTAAAATAATAATAAAAATTTTGAAGTTAATTAGAAATGTGTCAAATAGAAATGATAATTAAGTGCAATAGGAAAATATGAATATACCAATATACCTCTGTATTAATTGCACCTGGCGCTATAGATGTTATTGTGTCTGTAAAAATTTCAAGACCTTATTCTTATTCCCAATTTTGACCGTTCCTATGTAGTTTTTGTAGTTTTTGCTGTTGTTGTTTTTGTAATTTGTTCAAAAGCTTCTCTCACTCGAATAAAAACTTTTGCAAATTAAATAAAAAAAAAATCAATACCCAAGTCACTGTTACCAAAACTACTACAATGTGTTATACTTTAATGTAAAAAATCCGGTACCCTTAATCAGATCTGACCTTAATATGGACATTGTTCTTTTTCATGTGAACCATTGTTACACTTAATTGTTTTAGTCAAATTAGCGACAATTTTTCAGTAAAAAGCTTCGAAATTTTTCAAACTTCGAAAAAAAATCATTTCGAAAAGAAAATTTTTTTGGGTTTTAAGGCAAAACGGGAAAAAATGAAATCGAAAAAACTGAAAAAACTATGGTCACGTGTGTTTGTATCATGTGACATGTGTATCACGTGTACAGTATGTCACATGATTAGAGTAACCGTTTCTTTATCTTTTCTTTTTGTCCTTTTGGTGCTTTTCTTGTTTGGTTCCGCTCTGTTCCGCTCTCTTCTCTTCGCTTCTCTTCTTTGGTAATTAATTAATTAATCAATTGAAATTGTATGGAATCATATTTATTATCTCACCATAAAGGGAAGAAAAAGGTTCGTTTACCTTACTGGAGAATGTCTATGATAATGGCATGTCCCTTATATGATTTCGAAAGACCTTTTTAAAGAGAGACTGACGTTACAATTGGTTGTGAATTATAAGAATGATGCGAACAGCCGTCACAGTAATGTAAAGAACAGTGTCGACCTCAACTTTAGGAATAGTAATAACGGAGAATTATTACATTCGATAAATTAACTGTTCTCACGAGCTTTTCACTCCTTTCCATTGTATAGTAAAGGTTCTTAATTTAAGGGATTGTATCCTATCTTTCTTTGACTTGAAATAACTACTTGATTTGATGTAATAAACAAAAATTGGCATTGATTAAAAAAATGTCTTTGGGCACTATATCAATCGTCCAAGAAAAAAAAATTGTGATTTTATTTCGTTGTACCCTTTTGTCAACTATATATATATGGCCATTGAGAATATCCTATTTTAATGTTTGCTTAAAATACATTAAGGTTTCTTTAGTTCAAATAGAGGAATATAGTTGCTTATTCGAATAATTTAGGCAGAATATCAAACAGGAGAATTAATATTACAAAACTTATCATATCATAATGGCTGGACATGTTGATAAAAAACAAAAAAATGGTACCTCTTTAGACTCTCTAAAACAGACTGGTACCGTGATTGTAGCAGATACAGGTGATTTCGAATCAATAGAGCAGTACAAACCTCAGGATTCAACTACGAATCCAACTTTAATCTTGCAAGCTACTAAAAAGGAACAATATTCTGGCCTTATTGATGTAGCTGTCAATTATGCCAAGATGAATTCCGATAACTTTGATGAACAAGTGGATTTGGCTTTTGATAGATTACTCGTAGAATTTGGCAGAGAAATTTTACAAATTGTTCCAGGAAGAGTCTCGACAGAAGTTGATGCCAGACTATCTTTTGACAAAGATGCCAGTGTTAATAAAGCTTTAAAAATAATTAAGCTATACGAAGAAATAGGTGTACCCAAAGAAAGAGTATTGATTAAATTAGCTTCAACTTGGGAAGGAATCCTTGCTGCTAAAGAGCTTGAATCAAAGCATGGAATTCATGTCAATTGTACTTTGTTATTCTCTTTTCCCCAAGCTGTCGCGGCTGCAGAAGCTGGCGTCACTTTGATTTCTCCTTTTGTAGGAAGAATAATGGACTGGTATAAAAACAAAACTGGTAAAACATATTCTGGTGAAGATGACCCTGGTGTCAAATCTGTAAAGAAAATTTTCAATTACTATAAGAAACATGGTTATAAAACAATTGTTATGGGTGCCTCTTTTAGAAATATCGAAGAATTGAGAGCTTTAGCTGGTATTGATTATTTAACTATATCACCAAAACTACTGGATGAATTATATAAAAGTAAGGATCCAATACCAAAAGTTCTCGATGTAGAGACTGCAAAAACATTAGGTGAAGAAAAGGTTTCCTTTATAGATGATGAATCTTCCTTCCGGTTTGCACTGAACGAGGATGCAATGGCAACAGAGAAATTATCAGAAGGTATCAGATTATTCTCCAAAGATGCAGTAACCTTATTTGAAGATTTGAAGAAACGGATTGAAGAAACGGATTGAAGAATAATATTTGAATGTTGTCATCACTTGAATGGTATATTATATAAATATGTCTATGTGTATACCTATGTTTATTTTTCTTTGCTATGTAAAGAGTTTAGTTTCTTTAAATAATTATTGGTTGATGATCTATAACACGGATTTTACGTCTAGGAGCCCTCTTAGCTTTACTGATTTTATTATCTTTATTAGAATTTAACTTTTCAGCATTGTCGGAATTAACCAGGCTTTCTGTCACTTGGTCATTATTGGTAGGTATTGGGCTTATAGATTTCGGTTCTGGACTTATTGATTTATTTGCTATTTTTACTTTTGATGCACTTTTATTTTGAATTTCACTGGCTATGTTTTGTTTATTTTCTCTACCAATAGTCTCTTCATACAAAGGACTGGTCGCATTTGATACCACTTTTCGTATTTCTAAACTATCCAATCTATTGTCTTTTATTTCGTTATCAATGCATTCAGCCTTTTTATGACCAATGTTTAACGGTTTGTCAGGTATAACCTTTCTGATATTACCACTTGTCTTAATTGGTTTATTACTTGATACATTTTTATTCGGTAAAGAATAATCTATTTTATCAGTATCCCTTCTATCTACCTTACTTCTAATATTTGGTCTATTTATGTTAGTGTGAGCAGCTTTTAAATCTTCAGACTGTGAGCCAATCATTCTGGGTTTTCTAAATGGAGTATTGAATTTCAATGCTAGTGAGCTCCCTCCTGAATCTGCAGTTCCCTTCGTAGTTGTATTGCTCACAATCTGTCTCTTGGGGGTATATGACTTATAATTTGCACAATTGTTCCTCTGAGTTGAGATTTTAGAATCTCGTGAACCTGCTGCTGAAACATTTACTTCTCTATCATATTCATTTGTGATCTCTGATATCACCACCATATATTGTCCAAAAATCTTGTGCTCAACCTTGTTGAAACCCTCCTCATCTAATATCACATCGACTTCTTTTTGATTTGTAATAAATGAGCTCCCCAGAAGTACATTGTCTTCCTCTGTAAATAATTGAAATCTATTATTAATTTGAAAGTATTTTAATCGCCCATCATGCCATATTTTATTCTTCTTTCTTACTTGATCAGTATATTGACATTGGTATTCGATTATATGAGATATCATGATTGATATAGTATCATATATTCGTAAGTTTTTATATCATTTGTAACTTCAAATAGATATTCTAATATCATTGTTCTTTTCCCTTTGGTTGCTTAATTGATATAGTATTAGAGTTCTTATCTCATCGCGTTAACAAAATTTAATTGTAAATGTTCAGACAATTTACGCGTAAGTGAATAATATTAAAGTTAGTTAAATTATATAATTAATTATATATATGTATGCTATGTGAAATGACTAAAAACAAGTATCTATTTAATAATATTACAAGTTATGCTAACGTGTTAAACCTACACCAAAACCGATACCAATGCAAGCTAAAATTAAAGCTGTTTCCAATAAGCCCAGGTATAAAAATGCTCTTCTTATCCAACTGACATCTACGTCCCAAATAAATCCTTTTAAGATATTTATTCTATGATTTGAATTCATTAGCATTCTCAGCAGTCTATAATCCGAAATCATAGCATTTTCTCCCTTACCATAGGCTATCATGAAGAATAATGGTGGAACGAATATACAGCATGTTAATACTAATGCAAACCTCCATTTACTATAAATTTCAAAAAACCCTTGTGTTTTAGAATCATATGAATACAATGAGTTAGAGTCAATGTGTTGAATTGGAAGTGGAGATTGATTATTATCTGAATAATATTGATCAAATAATAATTCGTTTTTATATCTTGTTTGATATTCGTTATCTAAAATTTTAGGAGTTGTAAACATACTTCGACGATAAGTATCTAATATATCAATTGTTTGATCAATTTGATTGTCAGTAAATTCACCAAATGATAAGTTAGGTAAACTCCATTCATCAAAGGTATCATCTCTTGATACATCCGCAAGATTTTTTTCATCATACGATGAATAGTTCTTGAAACCTTGAGGAGAATTATTTTTAGGTGAAACTTCTTTTAATATTGGTCTTTTAGCACCAGCCATACTTCTAGCAACTGGCATTGCTGAACCGATTATAGACTCCTTAGGATTGTATTCGTCAATTTCAACATCGTGTCCTTCAAATCCCTTTAAATACGAAGTACCAATAGTAATACCTCCAGTTGAATCAGGATCTTGTGAACTAGTTGGTGTTGAAAGGTTATGGTTATTATTTGGAAAAGTAGTAACATAACTAACTCTTGGTGTCGCAGTGCCCATCTCCCGCCTTAAAAGGGCGACTGCCTCTTCGATGTCAGGCTCTAAAGTATCGTCATATCGGTACGACGACCCACTTGAGGATGAATTGTTATTCTTGCTGTATGCATTTTCAGGTTTGGTAAGGTTGCTAGCATCAATCTTTAAGGATGCAAGTTCTCGGCTATGAGTTGAACTATGGCCAAGATTATTCTTTGTAGATAATACAGATGGTCTTCTGCCATGAGATGGTAACGAAAATCTTGACTGGTGTGTTGAGTTCGTTATGGAAGTTCTTCTGCTATGGCTTTCATCTAATAGCATGGAAGTAGAAACAGTCCCCGTACTACTTAGATGTTCAGTACTTAGATTCGGAACATACCTGTCATCTACCTCTATAAGATATGGACTTCTTCTTTGTTCAATTCTATGGTCATGCGTGTGTAATATCGAGTCTTTGATACTGGTATTACTGTATTTGTATCTTATTGTTGGTGAATTTATAGCATTTGTGTTAACTTGAGGGGTAGTTGAAAGTTGTTGATCAATTGATGGCTGTTGGGTATTCCTATTTTCTACTGACGTTGCATTATTTATATATGATTGCCTAATTTTGGGAGTTCCACCCTTATCTGAATATTTGGAACTTCCATCTGATGAATGATCACTATATTCAGAAGAACCAGTAGTACCGCCTTCACTTATAGTATATATCATCTTTACCTTGGAAGGATGTATTAACCAAAAGAAACTCTTCGATATGGATTATATGAACTATGAAGCAATCTAAGGCTAAATTTTGATGTATTGGATGAATTGAAGATGATTGAACTTTTTCAAATAAAGTAATGATGCCTTATGTTCTTGTACTAACGTAGGATCGTTGTATCTACAGTGTCTTGGATAATATTGAAGTTAAATAGATCAAAGTTGAGGAACCCGATTCTGGAGTTATATTTGAAACGGCAAATAAGCAATTTTAAGTTTGTCTATATATATTTTTCAGATCAAGGAATAAACCAAGAGACTTTTGCATTGAAAGTGAAGAAAAAATTTAAAAGAACAATAAGACCATTAATAAAATTTTAAAAAGTATTAAGTCTTTATCAACTTCCGAAACAACACTCATTTATTATCATCACTTTGAAACAATACGTACCAATATTACAACATTAGTATGACTTTGAATACTATTAAAATTAAAAAATATGGCTGGTTAACCGGCTAAAAATAAACATCACCCCCGTTTATTAAACACTGGTATTGTAGATATAACAATTTAATCTAATAAGTTGAATATTCATGCAATAGCCCTCGTATCCAAATATCAAACTCTCTTTCCTTACTCTTAATAAAGTCCATTGGCATTGGTAACTTAAATAAATATTATGGCTGGGTTTATATATTCAATATTTTAAAAATTGCTGGGTTCTTTGGATAAACGCGAAGAAATTGGCGTGGAACAAGAAAATTTAAAAATACAGATATGAAAAATAATCTGAAAATACAGCTATCGAAAGGAACTTAAGTAACAGTTAAAAAACCAATGGAGCTGCAAGATTATTTTAAGTTTTTAAGGTTTGGTTGTTGATTATCGTAATTATATATTTTTTGCATAAGGTTAAATGGTTGCCTTTTGAGTAATTAATTATTAAGTTTAAAAGTCTGCAGTTTAATGAAGTCTTGTAGTGGATTAGATAACAAAACCCAACCTTACAAATAGAAAAAAGTAATAAAAATTAAATTAAAATTAAGGTGGGATGCATTGAGGTCTTCATCACTCGGGTACTCTTGTTTTAAGTTTTAACTTAACTCAGTAATTTTTCTTTTTTTATTAGTTTTTAAATAATTCATCTTACTTTTCCTTAGTAGGTAAATTGGTTTCTTGGTTATCAGATACGAGAAGATTATTGTGATAATGGTGATTCAAAAGCTGCATGTCCTGATGCAGCTTTGCTTTGGAGGTACATGTATTAAATTTTAAAAAGCATAATCTTTGTAAGACCTAAGAGGACAAAATCAGATGGATCTTAATGCATGTAGTTAGATAAACTATATCTAATGTAAATGCTGGTTTATTAATTAAACAATGGGTTGAGCTTATTATACAGTTTTAAAGTATAATTTATTTGTCTTAATTTTAGTTTTCGTCTTATTAGTAAGCGATAAGTATAGATAGGTACTTTTGAAACACCAGTGATTTTTTTTTTAAAATAAAAAACATCAGAGATGAAACTACTAACTACTGATACAACCGATGATCCACTCAGATAATTAAATTAATCATATGCTGAAACCAATTGAATTTCAATGTTTCAAATATTTGGTTGTTAATGTACAATACTAAGATTTTTATAAAGAAGTAGCAACCAGCATTTTTGAAAGCAATAAGATTTTTTTAATAGACAATAATTCCAAAATTTAAAGGAATTTCTTGATCAGAAATTAGGCAGACATTTCTTCTCAAACATTTGAAAATACCTAATTTTTGAAAATTTTAAAATATATTTGGTTGGTTATATATCCAATTGATATAAAAGCATTTTACAGTTGTATGATCAAGATCTGGGCATACCGAGGTATATAGTTTGAAGAATATTTTTCTAAATATAGAATTTTCCAAAAATTCTAAGGAGCTGTAATCAAGTACATCAACCATGATTTGAGATAATTTATTTAACGAGGGATATGTATTGAATTTGCCTCCTTTTGCCAATCTTGATTATGATTTCAAGCCTGTTTCAAGGACATACGTACTTCCGTGTGTATGCATGCATGGGGAGCGATACTAATTTATCATTAACGTACTATAAGAAACACAAAGTATACTCAGTCATCTGATATGTATATATGTTTCACAAACGAACAAAATGTATAATTCAGCTGATTCATCAACACTAATCATTAAATGAGGAGGTTGAGCTAGTTCATCATCTTTAGAACTTTATCCTCAAACTGATATATATTTGATCCATCAGACCATCTTGTACAATAGGAAAATATACCCAAATTGGAAGTTCTTGAATTGTGCCCCCCTCCCCTTTTCTTTTCTTTTCTTTTCTTTTGCAGAAAAGGGTGGCTCATTACAAATACCAATCGTATTTTACGGCATTTGAAAAAAGTGACAGTGTGGGAGATCTCAAATAATTTGAAAATCACGTGAACATAAAATTCAATCGAAGATTTCGAACGATGAATTGGAGTTCTAAAAACATTTTTTAATATCTTGCCTTCAAGATATTAAAAATATTAAAAACTGTTAAGTATACATAATAATCAGTAAGTCATCAAATTAGTGTTATACCTCCCCTGTTCAGCGACACAACTTCTGTTCATAATGTCACAGACTGATTTGTTTTATATATCCACGTGATCACCCGACGACGGAATTCCATCTTTCTAATGCTATGAGATCTCTCTTTCCGTGGAGGAAAAAAAGTAAAAGAAAAATTAGAGACCAGGAGATCACTTCTAGCTCGCTGTCCACGGAATAAATAGTTCAAGATATGATAATTATAAAACGTTGATCTCTTTCATTACAAGATATACAAAATAAAATAACAATATCACAAACCTATCATTGTTGTATATATTATATCATGATAATAGTGATAATTAATAAGCAACCAATAGAGAGGTACTATATCTCATCTGAATAATAAAGTCCAATCGGAGCTTTAACATAGTAATAATATTTTATAATAATAATCATAATAATAAAATAATAACAAGGTTCACTTTTTGTTTTCCATCCATTAATTCTGCTTATACGCAAGGTCACCACAAACATATCTATCTCCATGGAGTTCAAAGTATTTTCCATAATCTTCTTTCTCTCTTGAGT